AGTAATATTTTTTAAAATTAAGACAGATGTGTGACAACTGAGAGTTATTGCAGGACTCATCAGCTTTTACATTTTATAATACTCTGCAATTTCATTCGCTCAAACAACTACCATCCTCCCCAAAACACTGAAATAGATGAGACTCTTATGCCTATTTTAGAGAGAGAGATGGAAGTTCAGAGAGCCTGCATGGTTTTCCCAGACCACACAGCTTCAAAAAGTCCAGGCAGAACTAGAACTTTGGCCTCCTACATCTCGTTTACTGTCTTCTCCAGTCCCCACAATAGCGCATTCCCAGTATAATCTCTTCCATAGCATTATTCATTAAGAAATCCACCCAGAAAAAAAAAAAAAAGAAAGAAATCCACCCAGGTAGCCCTCACTGGGAACTGGGTATTCAGCAGTCTGGAGTCCACCCTCTCCCTAGTTGACATGGCAGGGTCTGGCATTCTCTTTCATCCTCCTAAATCCCAGACTGCCCCCCGTTTTAATCCTGACTCACAGACAAGACCATCTCTGGGCCTGGCCCAGGGAGTAGTGCCAGGTGATGTGATGGAGACTCTGATCCAGGTGACAAATGGGGCTGAGTGACGGGCAAGCCTATATTTGGTGTTCCACCTTCAATGACCCTTGCCTGTGCCAGGCAACGCTGATAAACAAGTGGCCCATCCCTTGTACCTTGCCAGAGTAAACTTGCACTCCAGGCCTGGCTCGGGGAATGTTGAGACACAGGAATTCCAAAGCCACACGAGAGGCTGAGAAGGCTAGGTATGTAAGCCAAGACCTAAAGGTTCTTTCAAATTATAGGGACTTAATTAGCAGATGGGTGCTATTTGAATAACCTGAAATAAAGTGAGTTAACAATGACTTACCATTGAACAGCTTCTCAATGCTGCTTTAAATTCCATCATCTTTCTATGACCTTCACAAGGATCCCGTGAGGAAAGTGCAGGACATAACCTTGTCAGTTTTCAACCACTTTCAAGGCCGCAAGGTCAAGATTAAAACCTGTGTCTTCCCATTCAGGCTGCTTTACAACACACTCTGCCTTTTGGCCTTTGAGCATCCAAAGAAGAAATCAGAGACGTCTCTTGTGTTAAGCCCCCATAGCTATGCTTCCATCTTTAGAAGTGGAACAGAGCACCTGTTTAATTGAATGCTTATGGATTTCTATTTTGTGTCCTGATGTCTTGATAAATGTATGTCAGATATTTATGATCACTTAAAAACAACCTGTGCAGGCTCCATTACCTTGTGAATAGCTATTATCTGTAATCTTATACTCACTTTGAAAAGTACCATGTGTAGACAACTGCTGAACACACATGCACAATCCCCCTAAGAGGCATCTCTGTCTCCCATTAAATTGCAAGACGCCAATGAAATCTCCATTGAAGATGTGAAATGAGAAATTTGACCTGGGGTTGTTTTCATTGAAAATTTTCATGTCATTAATTTCACAAGTCACATTTCTAGATATGTGTTACATTTCTTCTCTATTTTATATTATGTTGAAACTCAGGATCAAAATGAACATGAGCAAAATTACATGATTCTACCCTTTTCTAAAAATGTATCATCTTTAGTCAGAGAAGGATGGATCTTCGAAAAAGAAGTTGGCTAAAATATTATCCCCAAATGTCTACGTTTTATGCTTCATCTTGTGTGTATATGAGGTCACAATATTAAAAATCTAATCTGCCCCTGAATGTAAATATAAACAATGTGAGCTCTCTTAGGGTGTTTTAAGATCACCAAGCCTTATTATGTGCTCTTTTCTGTGCTTGAAATGCCCTTTTTCCTTTTCTCTGTCCTGTAAACTCTTATCCACCTTCCAATCCCCATTTAGACGTGATGTTTTCTGTGATCCTCTAACAACTCACTGCTTTCTTCCCCAATCTAAATGTAGGTAAGTGGGTAAGTCATTTCCTCCTCTAAATTTGCATAGCACATCCCCAAAGACTCTTCTCTGGTACAGAGTATTCTGGTTCTTGCCTATCTTCCTAGCTATCTTCCTAGAATGTAGGCTTCTCAAGGCTAGGGGATGGGACACAAAGTATCCATCTTTATAAGCTTTCTCCTCCTCAGTTCTCTCACCAAGAAATTAGAGCAGTGTCTGACACATGACAGAACGTGAAAGGTAAAAGTGAAGTCGCTCAGTCGTGTCCGACTCTTGGCAACCCCATGGACTATATAGCCCTTGGAATTCTCCAGGCCAGAATAATGGAGTGGGTAGCCTTTCCCTTCTCCAAGGGATCATCCCAACCCAGAGATCAAACCCAGGTCTCCTGCATTGCGGGCGGATTCTTTAGCAGCTGAGCAACAAGGGAAGCCCAAGAATACCCGAGAGGGTAGCCTATCCCTTCTCCAGGGGATCTTCCCGACCCAGGAATTGAACCGGGTCTCCTGCATTGCAGGTGGATTCTTTACCAACTGAGTTATTAGGGAAGCCCAATACATGACACATGATAGGTGGCCCTAAATGCATGGTGACTAAATGAATGAATGAATGCAGACTTGACCCCAAGCCTTTCAATTAAAAATCCATTACTCTTGCCACTATATTAAATAACCTGAACTATAGAAACAGCACTAAAGGTTTCCTTTTTAAAAAAACATTTTGGGGAATTTCCTGGAGGAGTGGTTAGGGGGCTTCCCAGGTGGCTGAGTGGGTAAAGAATCCAGGAGACAAAGGAGACGTGGGTTCAGTCCCCAGGTTGGGAAGATCCCTTGGAGGAGGACAAGGCAACCCACCCCAGTATTCTTGCCTGGAGGATCCCACAGAGAGAGGAGCCTGGCAGGGCTACCAGTCCATGGGGTCACAAAGAGTCAGGCATGACTAAAGCAACTGAACATGCATGCATGCCAGTGGTTAGGACTTGGCGCTTTCATTGCTAAGGGCTCAGGGTTCAATCCTTGGTTGGGGAACTCAGATCCCACAAACCTCATGGTGTGGTTATATTTTCTAAGATTTTACTGGATAAAAAGAAGAGCCTGTTTCTCTGAGAGGAAGGGTAGGATGTTTCTAGCTAACCTAACCTGTTTTTGGAAGCAAGGAAAGCTCCTTGTAAAGCATTTAGATGGAGAGTTTCCCTTTTGTCCTAGTATTGGGTTCCATGATCTGTTTGCTGTTTACCTTCTGTTTCTTAGCAAAACCTGTCTCTGCTATGAGGCTGGAAGACACAATCCATACCAGGTGACCCAGAAGGCTTAGTGTTAATCGCCAACTATTATAAGAAGGTGACTGGCTTCCTGGAAGGGAAGGAGAAAGTCGAAGCAGCCACTTGGAATGGTCTGATAGAGCTTCGTGCCAATGACAAGATGACACACCAGGCTTCTTACAAACCAAAGGATCCCAGAGAAAACTCAGCCCCCTGGGACTGACAGGATTTCAGAGATTTCACTGAGCATTGATAGCTTATTTTAGTGCTTCTCTCGGGAAATGAAAAACTGGATTCATTCTTAGACACAGACACAGAAGGAAAGAGGAAAAAAATTCCTGATGCCTCTCCTAGCCTGGTATCTCTTAAACACAGTTCTCTAATGAGGGGACAAGGGTGGCCTGGGGCTGGCTGCCAGCAGCTCCTGGCAACAGAAGGTGCTTAAAGGATGTGGGCAGACTCACAGGAACATCACCTGGCTCCTGGAATCACACTGTCCCTGAGAGCAGTGATAAGTACCTTCCTGCACATCCTCTAAACAACTCTGTGAAGCAGCAAAGAAGGACTCTCTTCATAGCACAGCTGGGAAAACAAGATGTAAAGAGACACTATGAAGTTCATTTCCATGCACACAGCAAGTTGCTGGTAGCCCTAAAGGCAAGAAGTAGGTTTCCACACCACTGATCTAGTGTGGTGCCAACATAGCTCATTGCCTGGGCAACGAGAGTTCTTAAAAAGGAATTAATATGAAATGAATCTGAAGAGAGTTTTAAAATATTACATATGTATATATATTTTTATCAGGGCTTCCCAGGTGGCACTAGTGGTAAAGAACCTGCCTACCAGTGCAGGAGACCTAAGAGACGTGGGTTCAATCCCTGGGTGGGGAAGATCCCCTGGAGGAGGACATGGCAACCCACTCCAGTCTTCTTGGCTGAAGAATCCCGTGGACAGAGAAGCCTGGCAGGCTACAGTCCATGGGATTGCACAGAGTCGGATACGACTGAAGTGACTCAGCACACATGCGAGACTGGCAAACGCTTTGCTAACCAAAGGGTGGTTCACTCCTAGCAGCATCAGCCCATCCTGGAGTCTGAGACGTGCAGAACTTCCTCCCCTCCTCAGATCAACCAAAGCAGAGTCTGCATCTTAGCAAGATCCAAGGGGACTCAAGAAACACTTAGCTAGAAAAGAATATCATTGTCATAGGTTATTTTCACTTCTGAAGGAACAGTTTTAAAAACACCTACATGGAAGAAAACAATAATGAATATTTGCATACAATTTCAGATACACAAAACCAGTTTATCCATTCTTTCTGAGAACTCTATCAGGTACACAGGAGCCGTGACTATCAATTTTTAACAAAAGAGGAAACTGAGACCCACAGTAGCAAAGTGACTGGCTCAGAGCTTGCTCTGAGTGTCTGAGCTTATCCGTCGACTTACACACAGTAACCATTTGCTGAATGAATGAATGAACCACCAACAAACTGGGGCTTGACCCTGGTCTGCAGACCATAACATTACCAAGGGTTGGTTCATTTTTTTTTTTAATTGAAGTATGGTTGATTTACAATGTTGTGTTACTTTCTTCTGCACAGCAAAATGAATCCATTATAAATATATCCACTCTTTTTAAGATTCTTTTCCCATACAGGTCATTACAGAGTACTGAGTGGTGTTCCCTGTGTTATACAGTAGGTCCTTAGTAGCTATCTATTTTATATACAGTACTGTGTATATGTCGACCATGATTGGTTCACTCTGGAGGCCACCTAAACTGAGGGTATTTGCTTTATATCCTACTAGACTTGACCTTGATCAGAGCGTCTTCAAGATGCCTAACTGGGGTGGAGGAGCGAAATGCGGAGCCTGTGAGAAGACTGTCTACCACGCAGAGGAAATCCAGTGCAACGGGAGGAGTTTCCACAAGACCTGTTTCCACTGCAGTGAGTTGGATGTGAACACCATGATAGTCCCTGAGCGTACCAAGGGCACGCCAAAGCTCACCCTTAGCCATAGATACTGTGATCAGCTGTTCTCAGCAGATGGCCCCGGGACCCACGGCATCAGCATCCTCTGGGGCCTTGTTAGTACTCCCACGCTGGGGCACTGCCTAAAAAAGGGATGGTGCTCTCCTGAGCACCCACTCTCCCACCACATGCCCCCTCTCCCACCGCGTGCCCGGCTCAGAGGCAGTTTCCCTGCAGCTCAGAATCAGAACAAGCTCCCAGTGGTGAAAACCTTGACCCTGTGGCGACATTTACAAAGTGTGACTTGGCAGAGAAAGGAAGCCATCGCTTATCTGCAGCCAGGGTGGACTTGGCTCAATGGGTTGTTCCCACAGGCCAGCGGTTGCTGAAGCCAGCTGCAATGGGCCTTTCCTAAGAAAAAGCCGGTGTCAGGCGAGGGGACAGCAGGGGCCGATTCTGGAAGGGTCAGAAAGGGAAGAGTTTGGGGCACCATCAACTTGACAAGGGGAATCTTTAGTGTCCCCTGCTGGACACAGTTTCACAAATGTCAAAACTAGGGGGATATTTAAGACCCTGTGGTCCACCGGGGAGTCAGGCTCTGCCCAACTCATGTGACTCTGGACAAGTCATTTCTCATCTCTAAGCCTGGGTCACAGGCATCTGCAACAGAGCCAGGAGCAGAGTCTGTACCTTCAGACTCCCAGTCTAGTCTCCTTAACCCGACTGCCTTCTAGTCTCCTAGCAGCTTATTCCTATTTTAGCAGAGCAGTTCTGTTTTGGGCACTTACCTTCTTTGCTTCCCTCCAGTAGGTCTGGCTTAAGGGTTAGTCTTACTGGACATTTGGCAGACGCTCTCCCTGCCTAGTGCTCCGTCCACCCTCATGTCTTACCCAGCAGCCGCAAGGCGTCACGCTGCCTCAAAGTGTTTCAAACAGAACTGCAAGGGTCGGGCTCCATCTGTTAGGGCATGGAGACCCTTCATCCTCCAGTAACAGTAATGTTTTATCTGCTGCAGAAGTTTCCATTATCCTGTTTCCAGGATACCTCCCACAACAAACATAATTCTCACCGAGGAACAGGGGAAAATGCTGCTGTGAGTGATTGGATTGGCAAATTTACCAATGCTTTAGGTTTTAATGATGGGTAATTAATTTTAAGTCATCATACATCAGATTCACCATTATCACCACAATTATCCAGAAGTTGTTGCTCAAAAGGATTTATTCCATAACCCTCTGACCTCTGTCCAAAAATAGCGAGTGCTCTTTTAAAAGAGTAGGGGTAAGAAATACTGGAAAGAACATTGGAATTGGAGTAAAAATGACTAGGGTTTGAGTTTGAACCCTGCCATGCACTATAACTGTGTGACCATGGAAGTCATTTCACCATGGTGAGCCTCAATTTCCCCATTTATAAAACAGAGATGGTTATACCTGCCACACTAGTTGTTATAAGAAGAAAGCTGGGGTTCTTCGCCTGAAGTCCAGTTCTCTAGACCTTTATTTTCCTTTCATCAACTTGGATATCTGAGTGGGAGCAGTCAATGATAGCAATGCTTTCCATGGTGAGGGGTGTCTCATCTTTCCCAGGAAGCAGGAAGATGCCCTGTTTAATGGACCGTGTAGAAAGGATGTGAGCATTTACATCCCTTTCAACCCTTGGATATTCTCCTTAGAACTCGCGGGAGGGATGGGGGTCTGAGCAGGTTTCAGCAGTGGTGGACAGAAGGATTCTGGAGCAGAGCATGCTTTTCTATAGCTCCATCACAAGACTTATCTGTCCACAGGTCACCCTGTAATTGCTGGAAATAGGGGCAGAATACCTTCGTTTGTCCCTTGGCCAGTGTTCTCCAAACTTCTAGACAAATCTTAATCCTCCCTACTAGTGCTGTCCAAAAAAAATATAATGCAAGTCACATAAAGAAAATTTTTCCAGTAACTCTATTTTTAAAAACATTAAAAGAAACAGGTGAAAATTTTAAACATTCAACCCAACATATAAAAAATAATAAATTCAATGTGTCGCCAATACACACATTATTACCTCATGTGGTGGGCAAGTGGCTACGGTATTACACAGCACAGCTCTGCTGTGCCTGGGTGTGAAAGTTGGTCAGAAGTCAGGGAGTGGCTACAGAATTGTTTAGGACAAGACAGGGCCCAGGAAGTCCCGGAGTGATGGGAATGCGCACTGGAGTAGGGTCAAAGGGATCTGAGGCTGGCTCTGAGATTCACGGCTGTATAATCACGGACAAGTCACTGATATTCATGCATGCATCAATTCATTCACTCATTCATTCAACAAATGTTTACAGAGGACTAACTTTGGACTAGGCTCTGTGCTGTGTTCTGGGGATATTAACACAGTTTTCCCCTCAAAGAACTCAGTCTATAACATCAATAAATATTCAACAAGTTGTTCTGGAGATTAGGAATGACAGTGACAAGAAGGGCAGAGATAGGTATACACTTAATACGCTGAAATATAAGGCACTTCCCCCCCAAATTATTCCTCACAAAAACAGTTCACCTTGGCTTCAAAGCCTTATAAAGTCTCTCATGCTACAGGATTGTCTCTCAGTTTATTTAAACTTTTTTAATCAGAAAATTTCACACACATAATATTGACATGATTGTTTAATGAACTCCCATATGCCTGTTTCTCCAGCCACATAAACACCGACCTCTGGCCAACCCCACCTCTTCTACCTTATCTTCTCTCTCTCTTGTATTCAATTACTTACTTTTTGAAAAAAAATAAATTACCATTTGAGAAAGGCATATTAGCTTGAAACAATGTCATTAAATGTTGGATTGCTTATAGAGGTCACTTAATGGAACTGGTTTTCTAAAATGGAGGCAAACAAATTGAATGCACACGTATTATTATTCCTGGAAATATGACCTCACTATTATAACCACTGCATATCACCATAAACAGTCTTTAAGGCTCATCATTACAATGTGATACAGCAAGGTATTAAGCTGTGGAAGCCTACCTACTTTTAAAGCTGCCCTTATATTATTGTTATTAGGTACTTCTCGTTGAGACACAGATTTCAAGGTGACAGCCTCCTGCTCAAGGAGACAGGGTTGCCTCTCAGATACAGACAGACGTGGGGATGAGCTGCTCTGGGGAGCTGGGTCAGCTGCCCCAGGAAGACACTTGAGAAGGGAGATGTTGAAGTTGAAGATGCAGAGAAATAATTTGGATGCAATTTGTTTCCTGAATTTGTGTTAGATTAGAAAAAAGGTAATGTCTCCAAAGCAATATATTTTTTATTTATATTATTAAATATTATAAGTGGGTATTTGACACCTTCATTTACATCCTTAAACATTTATTTATTCAAGTGGCAAAAAATTTTTTCTATCAATTGAAAATTTTAATTAATAGATTTTCTATGAAACTTCTTTTTGGAAAAAGTCTTACGTACTATGTATAATCTATGTAATAACTATACTAATGTCTAGTATCGCCCACACTTTACATTAGGTGATATACAGTGACTTGAGTTAATGGAAGCCTAAGAGCAGGTCTACCCTTTCATTACTTCCCCTGCTTCCAGAACTGGATCAATTGTAGTCTCAGCAGTAATTATCTCCCTGAATAATCACAGTGCTCTTCAAAGTCCATTTTAAATAGAGAAACTGCTCAATGCTGATTCTGATGTGATTAAAAAAAAATAAGTTCCTCCCCTGCCTCACCCCCTGCCTACCCCCACACACATACACTCACACTTTCTGAAGTCATTTGGGGTGAGACACTCGGAAATGCAGGTTGTCCACGCTCAAGGACAGCTATTCTTAGCTGGTCTGAGACCACACACTGGGTTCCAGTCCTGGCTGCCACCTCTTTCCAGCTGGGCACCGCTGAAAACACTACTTCCCTTCTCTGTGCCCCCATTTCCTCATCTGTGAAACAGGACTGTCTCGGAAATCTGTCTCAGGACAGATGCACAGGTCAGGAATCAAAGTTGTGTGCTTGGCTTGGGGGGCCCCTTGTGCTGGGCCCCTTGGTCCTTGGCAAGGGGGCCCTTGCACTAGTTGTGCAGGGAAGAAGGGAAGAACCGCAGCCCTAACTTCCTGACCCTCCCTTCCCCGCAGTGGCCTGCAGGAAGGCGCTGGACAGCACCACGGTGGCAGCTCACGAGTCAGAGATCTACTGTAAGGTCTGCTACGGGCGCAGGTACGGCCCCAAAGGGATCGGGTACGGACAAGGCGCTGGCTGCCTCAGCACGGACACAGGCGAACACCTGGGCCTCCAGTTCCAACAGTGAGTTACTGCCCCGCTTCTCCCTGCCAGGAAAGCCCCAGCTCTCAGGGTAGTTCATTCTGTTCCCATGGCAACGTCTCCTGGAGATGGGAGAATGAACCCCATTGTTGACTTGCCAACAACAGGAATACTCAGTCTGACCAAGTTCTAACAATGTGTCATCTCTCCGAAGACTCTCTTTAAATTATCTGCCTTTCTAAAGGGCAATTACTTTTACACCAGGGCTCTTGGTTTGCATGTCAAGAGAAAACCCAGAATGTACAGATGTCCTATTGTTTGACCTTTGCAAAACTACATGGAGTCTCTTTCCTTCCCCTTTGAGCATTTCTGTGTAAATTACATACAGACGGCAGGGATGCAATGGCCCTTCTCTGTGTGTGTGTCACTGGAAGATCTCTCCCCTTGGGTTGTAAGATGACTAATGTCTGCATTTTAGCGGGGAGTGGGTCCGGGGGGATGGACTGTGCTGAGTAAACAATCAATTTTGACTGTTCTGCGGGTGTCCTGGCTGCCCTGTCTGTTACCAGGACAGTGTTGAGGTTTCCTAGCATTATCCTAGGGAAGCAGGGATTTCACACTGTTCCACCTCCACCTACCAGTCTGTTCTACTTGATGATTGCGCTGACCTTCAGCCCAAAACTGAGTATATAGACTGACAGTCACTGGCCTGCAGCTGCTGTCTGGCCAGCTGGTACCCGGGCTCAGCTCTGCAGTGGGACTGGCAGAAAGGCCCAACCCAGTGTAGGCAGTGTCCCCCAGAGAGCAATGAGAGCATCTGAAGAGTCATCTGGTGCCTTTCAAAGAGCACAGCCCATGGTAGAGCCTGTAAAAGTGCAGGGATGTGTGATTTGTCATTTGAATTTTTCTCATCACTCAACTCCAACTAGAGACGCTATTTAAAAAAGAAAGATGCTACCAGCTGCAATCTCTGCTTCACATTACCCAAAGCTCACTGTTCTATGCTAGGGCTTTTCTGGGGTGCTGCACAGACAGAGAGAGAGTTTGGAGACCTGGCTTTCATCCCAGCTACACCAGTTATGAGCTGCTGACACCTTGGGCAGTTATCCCTCTGGCCCTGACTCTCCAGCTACTCCTACCTACTTTAGAGGGTTATGATGAGACTCAAACGATAAATGTACAAGGAAACACCAAAAGATAAGGAAACGCAGGGTTATTACTGTGCCTCTATCTTAGACATGGCTCTCAAGAGGGCAGGTGACCTTTGATGCAGGGTGACAATCTGAATTGTGACAAGGCATGCATCAGCTCATTGGACTATGGTTTGTTTAGTATCAACTGTCAAGATGCCATCTTGCCTTGTAATATTTTTACTCATTTTGGAAAGCAGACCTGTGGGTTTCCAGATGGTACAGATAACCCTAAATGTGCAATCAGGATAATAACACAACAACAGCAATAATACAAGCTACATACATGGAACACTTGCTAAGTGCTCTACAACAGAAAGGAAAGACGTAAATGAATTCCTGCTAACATTCATTAGCCCTTACAGCATGCCAGGCAGGTGCTGCTCTAAGTGCTCTAGTTACCTGGCCTCACTTAACCTTCTCAACAGTGAGGAAGGTTACAGCGGGGAAGGCACTGTAACTATTCCCACTCTCAGATGAGGAGTCTAAGGCACAGGGAAGATTGGTGACTTGCTCAAGGTCACACAGCTGGTACTATTTGCCAAGGGAAGTCTCTAGGTTTCATTCGTCTGTTTCGACCAGGTCCCCAAAGCAGGCACGTTCAGCCACCACCAGCAGCAACCCTTCCAAGTTCGCGAAGTTTGGAGAATCAGAGAAGTGCCCTCGATGCGGAAAGTCAGTCTACGCTGCTGAGAAGGTGATGGGAGGTGGTAAGGTAAGGACTTCCACAGGGGCCAGATGGGGACGTGTCCACCTCCACCCCTTGGGTTGGGAGGAATGAGAGAAGGAGGCAGACCCTCCTTAGGTCCCAGGAGCCACTCATCCTCACCTGCCTTCCTGGACTGTGACGGTCACCCTGCAGTACCCTAGGAAACCGGAACTAGTGGAATTTGATGCAATGTACATTAACTCACTAGAGGGAAAGCACCTAGCTAGGAGCTCTGGAGATACAAAGATACATAAGCTCCCTTGTCTTCAGTGTCCACAATCCTTCCAGAAAGTGTCAGTTCTGGAAGCTGAGGCCACTGCATAACTCAGCCTGTGCACCACACTGCACACAGCCAACACCCCACAGCATCTAGAAGTATCCTCACTCAGAAACGCTGTGGCAACAGGGAAGAGTCCTTGACCTCTGAGACAGTAATGCACACCTGTCCACAAGCTCCAGTTTCAGTCCTGAAGCCAGGGATTCACCCAAGGATTTAAGCCTGAAGACAGACAAAGATCCTGTTTATACTAAACAGGGGGAGGAAGGCCAGAGAGTGTCTTACTCCAAATATAGGGGCTGTCTCCACCCCAGGATGGGCCATTTAAATACAGGTGAGGACCCTGGGCTGTGCATGGAGGACATGCAGATACCCAGAAGGCAGGCAATCTTCTGGATCATCTTAAGCCACACAACTTTCTTCCATCAGAAATACAAGGAGAGTACCAAAAAGACTACACATAACAAAGGCTAGAGGGGGTGAGGCGAGAAGGGAACCCTCCCAAACACTGTTGGTGGGAATGTAAATTGGTACAGCCACTAAGGGAAACAGTAGGGAAGTTCCTTAAAAAACTAAAAATAGAGTTATCATATGACCCTACAATCCCACTCCTGGGCATATGTCAGAAAAGATGAAAACTCTTAATTTGAAAAGATACATCCGCCCCAAAGTTTATTGCAGCACTATTTATAAGAGCTAAGACACAGAAGCAACATAAATGTCTACCGACACAGGAATGGATAACAAATGTACACACACACACAATGGAATATTACTCAGACATCTAATGAAATGATGCCATTTGCAGCAACATGGATAGACCTAGAGATTATCATACTAAGTCAGAAAGAAACAGGCAAGTATCACAGGATATCACTTACATGTGGAATCTAAAACAATGTTACAAACAAACTTATTTACAAAACAGAAATAGACTCACAGACACAGAAAACGAACTTCTGGTTACCAAAGGGGAAGGGTGGGGAGGGATAAATTAGGAGTTTGTGGTTAACAGACACGCACTACTATAAATAAAATAAATAAATAACAAGGACCTACCTGTATAAACAACAAGGGAACTATATTCCATATCTCATAACTTATAACGGAAAAGAATCTGAAAAAGAATACACACACATAAATACATGTATCACTTTGCTGCATACCTGAAACCAACACTGTAAATCAACTTGCTTCAGTAAAACAGAGAGATACAGAGTTTAAAATGAGCCTGAATTCCCTAGATGATGGCCCCTTTCTTCACCTTTCTTTCTTTTTTCATTTTATATTCAACATGTTACCCACTGCCTCAAGTCTCTCTCCAGTTTATTTCTTGATCTTCTAGAAAGAGGAATCCTTCTTCTATTTAGTCTGTTCTGAAGGGATATATATGGAAATCACTTTGATAAATCCAGCTTCGGGGGTCCTAAGAATCGCTGGTCAAGCCATTTTCCTCAAACCCCTGGAAAAATGATTCTGGGAGCCAATTAGGTGGGTCAGTGATTAGGACAAGGGCACTCCTTTATATGCTGTTGGTCAGGGGACTTAACAAGGAAGCAAATGTTCTGCCTGCCCTATTAAATATCCAACTGCCCTGCTCTCCTGTGCCCCACAGCCTTGGCACAAGACCTGTTTTCGCTGCGCCATCTGTGGGAAGAGTCTAGAGTCCACAAACGTCACTGACAAAGATGGGGAACTTTACTGCAAAGGTGAGTGGTTCCAGAGACGCTCCTGAGATGTTTCCCCAGGGAGGGTCTTTGGGAGGGAAAGCTGTGTCCCTGCCGAGAGGCATAGCTTCTCAGCCTGACCCAGGTTTGGGCTCCCAGGATGCAGGGCAAAGCCAGCCACCGAAGGGAAAGTAACCTGCTTGACCCACTTCCGGCCCCCTCCATAGCAGCACGTGGGGGGACCTGATACTTAATAGATGCTCAGGGAAGTTCAGGGCAGCTGGGCACCTGGCGGGAGGGAGGCCAAGGAGGCAGCAGAGTCCTGACTGGCCTTGGAAGGGGCCTCAGGTCTGGGCAAAAACGTCACAGTGCCTTCCAAAAACCTGAATGCTCTGTGTACGTGACTGGCAGATAGGGGTGAGGGGAGGTTGGGGAGGATGAACTCCGTTTGGCCTCTGATGAATTTATCAAGACACACCTGTCTCCTCCCTCCCTCCTTCCTTCCTGACATGTCCGGTTCTGAAGTTGCACGTCACTTAGTGATCACACAGAACTGACAAGCTGGTTTGCCTTCTGGTCCTCACAGGTCTGCCCAGACTGCCTCCATCATCCCTCTGTCTTGCAGAGAGGAAGAGAGGCTTAGCTCCTTCCTGACACCGAGAAGATGCTTTAGGGATGGTTTAGAAGATGCTAAAGCGATGCTTTAGGGCCATGGCAGTGTGTCTGATCCTCAGAGCCTCTCCTAGCCCTATTCTGTTTCTCCGCAGGGTCATCCCACCCTTTCCACTCAGTGATGGTGTCTTAGGATCTCCGAACGTGTGTGTTAGCGCCGGGGAGGAGTGAGAGGGAGGATATTACTAACCAAGACTGCAGGTAGCCCAGCTTCTCCCAGGCTGGGACCGGGTGGAAGCTGACGCAGTATCTGACAGGGACTGCCTGCTCCCGGTAGGAGAGGATACAGAGGGTCCTCAGCATTCACGGGCCAGAAGACTATAGGCTGCTGCGGCAGCTGGTAGGGAGATCAACCTGCAGAGAAGTATTAATAGCTGCATTCCCGAGTGTTGCAAGCTCTAGTAGAGGATGCCACACAATGAAAGGGCATGGAAGGGGAAAGTGATTCAGAAAAGTTTTCTTAGAAGAGAAGCTTCCTCTGGCTTTGGGAGGGGGTGTCCCAGGAACAGGGATCAGTGAGTGCCAAGGCACTGAAGCTGGGACGTCGTGGCTCATTTTAAGCACTGCGAGTAGCTGTGTGTACCTGGAGGGCAGGGAGGGAGGCAGGAGGCAGGAAGGGATGGGGCTGGGCAAGCAACTGGCAGCCAGATTATGGTGACTCAGAGAAAACGTCTCTGAACACACTTAGGAGAGTGCAAAGAAGCCTAAACAGTTTTATAGGCAGATATAAAATACAGTTCAATTTAAAAGGTAACTTATAAACACATTTATCAAAAGGATGCCTGAAAAAAAAAAAAAGGATGCTTGACCCAGGTAAAATAACTGTGCTCAGATGGAAGGAACTGAAATGGTGTTGACCAACCCATCCTCTCCCCTGTTCTCTTCTCTCTCATCCACAGTGTGCTATGCCAAAAACTTTGGCCCTACAGGTATTGGGTTTGGGGGCCTCACACACCAAGTGGAAAAGAAAGATTGAAACAAGCACCATGTCTCAGGTCTCTCATCAGCCTAAAGCATTTCCCAAGTAATCCTGCCCAGATGGAAACCCCTCCCCAACCTCCTCTCATTGGGAGCTGAACAGTATCTCTCCTCAGAAGTGATCACAGTCTTTACCTGAAGTTAGAAGAGCTCTTTGGAAGAAAATTATTAACAGTCAAGTCCAAAACAAAATGCTTTATTATTTACAATACCTGGGGTGGGAGAGACCAGAAATAAAATTTAAGTGACACCTTGTATGTCTCTGGATCTTTTCTTTCGAATAGGGGGACATTAAAAAAAAAATTTTTTTTTAACAAGTTGTGCAGAGCACGTAATGGATTTTGGTGTCAGCTGAGGTGAGGAGGGGGAGGAGGCAACAGGCAGAGGGAAGCAGTCTTCTAGAATCTGTCGGCTAAGCTTCTTTCTATTTAGCACAAATGGAGAAGAAGCAGGGGGTCTCCGAGGAAACACAACATGGCAGCAAATTCTAAAAGGAATATCAAACTAATCAAACTGCTGAAGATCTCATCCTTTTCTTCTTACCAAGGGCTTTGCAATATTACACATTTCGTGAAGACTCAGACATGGCAACAAAATGTGAAGTCTGCTTCTGTGGTAAACACAACATGAGCATGATTTTCTTTCATTCCGGGGCAATTCCCTAAGGTTTAGCAATTTTCTTAAAACTTCTCTGTCAAACTGCCAGCCTCACAAATGAAAGCCAGCCTCACAAATGAAAATGCAGCTGAGGTCTGCCTCCTCAGCAAGACCTCAGCAGCTCAAGAGGGTGTGTTTTCTCACCTCTGCTTCTAACAATCACAGCATTTCTCCCACTACCATGCAATTCTCAATTCTTTGCAGCAAATGAAAACCCATTGACAAAAATTATGAAACACGAGACTAAGCTGTGGGGCTTTCTGTGCTCCAAGACCCAAGGAGATGTTTTTAAAATGAGCATTTGTCCGGGGCTGCATACTTGCTGTCACAGACAAGGCCCCGCACCGACTTCATTCAGGTCAGTTCAGTCGCTCAGTCGTGTCCGACTCTTTGCGACCCCATGGACTGCAGCATGTCCATCACCAACTCCCAGAGCTTCCTCAAACTCATGTCCATCAAGTCGGTGATGCCATCCAACCATCTCATCCTCTGTCGTCTCTTTCTTCTCCTGCCTTCAATCTTTCCCAGCATCAGGGTCTTTTCAAATGAGTCAGTTCTTCGCATCAGGTGGCCAAAGTATTGGAGTTTCAGCTTCAGCATCAGTCCTTCCAGTAAATATTCAGGACTGATTTCTTTTAGGATTGCCTGGTTGGATCTCCTTGCAGTCCAAGGGACTCTCAAGAGTCTTCTCCAACACCACGGTTCAAAAGCATCAATTCTTCGGCACTCAGCTTTCTTTATAGTCCAACTCTCACATCCATACATGACTACTGGAAAAACCATAGCTTTGACTAGATGGATCTTTGTTGGCAAAGTAATGTCTCTGCTTCTTTATTATGCTATCTAGGCTGGTCATAGCTTTTCTTCCAAGGAGTAGGCATCTTTTAATTTCACGGCTGAAGTCACCATCTGCAGTGATTTTGGAGTCCAAAAATTAAAGTCTCTCACTATTTCCATTGGTTCCCCATCATGAAGTGATGGGACTGGGTGCCATGATCTTAAGTTTTTTGAATGTTGAGTTTTAAGCCAGCTTTTCATAATACCGACTTTATTATTTACCTATTTACCTATTTTCTGATGTTCAAAATGCAAATACATTTAACCATTTTGTTTGATTGGCATAAAAAGAATGGTTCAGGAAAAAAAGAAAAACAGCTGGCCAGGGTTGTGTCCCATTACACTTTCAAACAAGTAATATACAAGTATGCTTCAGTCACCCAGAGATTCTTGCTGGGGTGATTCAACCACTGAGTTCCTATCAAATAGCCTGAGGATAAAAATATTGTACATTCCAAATTCTCTGGGAAGGAAGCTCAGGACAGTGTATTTTTGATTTGTAAACTTTTTTCCAGAGCTCAATCAGAGTTCCCATCATTGTCAATCAAACAATAATGCCAGTAATGAACTGAATTAATTAAACCAAGTTCTCTTTACTCTGAAGTGACTTTAAAAGCTGTACACTACCTTGGCCCTTCACTAGGAGGTCCCCCATACCAGGGACTTCCAGGTTTGCTGAGGGGTGACACACATATGAAATGATGACCAGACAATGGATGCAACCTTCTCCTCCACTGCAGTGTAGCTACCAGCATCACTATCCATCCACCCGGGACACTGAGAGCTAAAAACTTCGGTCATCCTTAGCTCTGCCCTGAGACATCCTTCCTTGCCTCATTCCCCAAGCCTCCCTGGTTCTACTTCAAAATGTCCCTAGAATATACCCCCTCTATCCCCATTCTTTGATATGTGTATCAGTCGGCTGGGGCTACAGTAGCAAAGTGCCATGGAATAGATGGCTTAAACCACAGAAATTGTTTTTCACAGTTCCAGAGCCTAGAAGTCTGAGATTAATTTGTCAGCGGAGTTGCTGTCTTCTGAAGTCTCTCTCCCTGGCTTGTAGATGGCTGTCTTCTCCCTGTGTCTTCACATGGCCTTCCCTTTGTGTGTGTGTGTTTTGTTATTATCATAACTACCTCTTTTTATAAGGACACAAGTCATTTCGAATTAGGGACCACCTGAATGATCTCATTTAAACTTATTTCTGTAGAGATCCCAACTCCAAATACATCACATTCTGAGATACTGAGGGTTAGAACCTGAACACAGAATTCAGGGGGAAGGGTGGGGAGCACAGTTGTGTTTGCAACAGTATGTCATAGAAAGGACACAAACCGCCTTCGACTTAACTCATTCAACTTAGCTTTAGACCATCTCTTCCATGTGAGCCCAGCTACACTCAAAGATGCAAAGCTTTCTGAATACACCAATTCCCCCACCTCATCATGCTTTTGCAAATGTTATTCTGGAATGCCAAGAACATGGAACCTACTCCCAACTCCTTAGCCTGCTGAACTCCTAGAAATCAAGCCACAGATCCAATGCCAATTAATCCACCTCTGTGTTCCCACGGCCAGTATATAGTGAACATAGCATTTGTCTCACTACATTGAATTTTTAAACTTTGATCTGCCTCCTTGTTAGAATGTAACACACTTGCATTCACAGTGCTTAAAAAATAGCAGGCATTTAATAAACATGTGTGGAGTGAGTGATGCGTGAGAGATTGTAGGCTGAACTAAAAGTAAATTCTGCTAAAATTTAGAAGAAGGTATTATTATACATGGGAGTAAAGGAGTTTGGAAATGAAAAAAAAAAAAAGCAAGAACTTTATTGTGGTTAGGCAGGGTTTGTGTTTCGCCTCTGCTTCCTGGGCAGAATTTCCCAGGCTCCCGGTCAGCAACCAGGACACATGATGGAGTTGGCCAATGGAGGCCCAGCCCCCAAGACCCCCAGGGAAGTCTCCACTCTCCCTTCGCACATCTGTGGATACAGAAAGTCTGGTGGACAGTGAGGCCCTAGGAAATGGTGGCGCCATTAGCTGGGAAGCAGCGTGGGTCCCAGCATAGAACACCTGCTAGTTCTAAATACTGTGACAAGAGGGAGACACAAACCTGATGTTGTGTGAGGCCGCTGAGATTTGGGGATATTTATTTTGGTGTTAACTCCCTTGACTAATATGTATCTAAAATACCAGATGTGCTGTATCCAAGACATTCACTGTCAGTGTCCATCTCATCCATTTAAGTCACAGGGAGCATCATTAGGATTTTGCCTAACATTTGTGAAAATGATTCAGATGTGTCATCTCCAATGTGACTATACGGGCATTTGGGAAAAAAAATGAAGTTACGGGAAGATAGCATAAGAGTCACATGATTGGGCTTGCTTTGGTGTTAAAACCAAACAAAAACAAACCCTTGCTATTCACCCACCGCCTTCTCCTCTTTTTCAGAGCCAAACCGCTAAGACTAAGACTCATTTATTCCTTAGCATCTCGGTATTTGGTTTCCAATACCCCGTCAGCACTGATCACAAACTCTCTGGTCTTGCCTCAATTGTTCTTCTCCGCCTTGCCTTAGCTCCTGAAGACTGACTGCTCTTTCTTTGAAGGTAGTTCCACGCCTTGGATGCTATGACTGTCTCCTGATTACCCTCCTACCCAACCTCCTCTCAGCCCATCCTTCTTCTCCAGCTCCCTAGATCCATATTCCCTAAGGTCATGGTCCTGCCCTTCTCCTCTCTCTTTTCTTTTTGTTTTCATTGGTTTTCATCTTTGCTCCATTTTTAGAACTGACCTTCCCATTTTGGGAGGGCAACTCTCTTTTTATTTTCCTCTCATTTTTCTACCTCTCCTGTGACAATCTCACTCATCTGCACAGGTGACTCACATGCATGCCCTGGCCTAGTTCCAGCTATCTTTTACTTCTTCCAGTGGATAGTTTGCAAGTACCTCAAACAGACCCAACTACCAAACTCACCCCCCAGTCTCTCCAAACTGTTTTCCTTACTTCTCAAAATTGCACCCCCCACCCCCCCACCCCCCCATTCACTGGATCCAACACTGCAAAGCCATCTTTGGCTCCTCCTCTTCTACCCACATTTAATCAGTAATGGAGCTGGCCAGATCGCTCCTGCTCCTTTATTATTTGTTGCCTAGACCACAATTAAAAGTTTCTCTCAAAATTTTTATCTGTCCGGGTCCAGTCAGAAAAACAAACCACACTTTTTTTTTTAAAAAGAGAGAAAATAATAGCAGAAATTGCCTAACGGGTGCTAAAACATTTGAAAAATTAACAAGGCACACACTGACTTAACACAGAGATACAGGACACAGCTCCACTACCCCTGAGGCTGGGAAACAAAGAGAAGAGATGGTGGTACCCTCATCTACACGCCTCAAGGCAGCTCTCCCAGGGGCTTGGAGTCAGATCTCCGAGGAGAGCGCTCGGTCTGCAGACAGTTGTTGCTTCCAAGGGGCACCACGGAGCTCAAGTTAGACACTGCCTCCAGCTGTCATCACTGGGGTGAAGGGCCATTGTTTGAACAACACTGAGGGGAACAGCTGGTGAGCAGAATGAAGTCAGTCCCTTCTCCCCTCCTCCTTCCAGCCTACTGGCAGAACTTAACACAAAGTCGGCTGGCAAAGAGATGATCATCTTCAGAGTCCTAACGTGGATGCACAATGTAGAGGAGAGAGGTAGACTGGGCACATTTCCCTACCAATAGCTTCTCTCCTTACAAGGATTTCTGAATAGCCAGCATTGATTGAGCCCTTACTATGTGTCAATGACAATTCTAAGCACTTTATATGATCAACTCCGCTAATCCTCATCATAATACTTGGAGGTGTTCATAATAACACTTGGAGGTATGCACTGTACTATAACTAACCAGAAATACAAACAAGGAAACTGAGGCACTAGGAACACATGTGCCCAAAGAGGCGAAAGTAACTTACAACTGACATACTCAGGATACAAAACCCAGGGCGCCCAGTATAAAACAGATGCCCAAGCTTTTTTGTAACTTTCACACCCATGTATACCTGAGGGAGATGCCAAAATAGAATAATGGATGTAAGATTCCTTAAGCAAATGATTCTCAAACTGTAGCATGTCTACGTGAGAATCGCCTGGGGACCCTGACAAAAATTCAGATTTCAGGACACTCTCTCAGAGACTGACTTAAAAGGTCTGAGATGAGAAATCTGAATTTTCAACACACTATCCCTGGACGCCAACCCTTCCTCCCACCCCAGCCCCTTATTCTGATGTGAACACAGTCTGTGGACCACCATTTGAGAACACGAACTTGGCAGGGGTTGGTGAGTGAAGCAGAGAGGATATAACTTGAAAAAGTCCACCTGCCCCCAAACTGAAAATCGGTCTTCAAACACAACTTGGATGATATCATATTCTGCTCAAAATCCCTTCAATTCCATTCAACAGATTCATTCAAATACTTATTGAATATATACTACATGCTAGACAGCATTCTAGGTGCTTAGGATACATCAGTGAACAGAACAAAGAGCCCTCATGGACCGTACATTCTAATGGGGTGGAAGAGGGAGGCAGTATGCAGTAGATACAATGAATAAATAACACGGTATGTCTGAAGGCGGTAAGTGCTAGGGGGAAAAATGTAGTGTGGGGCAAAGAGGAGGAAAGGGGCAAGAAAAGGATGTTACAACTTTCAAAACGTGGATGAAGGCAGGCCTCATTGAGAAGTGGACATTTCAAAGAAAGCTGGGAGGAAAGGCGCTGTGGATTTCTGGGGTTACAGCAGTCTCGGCAGAGAGAACAGGCGGGGAAAGGCCTGAGGCAGAAGTGTGCAGGGGGTGTGGGATGATCAAGGGGGAAGCAGGGCAAGCGGCCAGCCCGATCCTGCAGGCCAGTCAGGGCTTCGCCTCTTCCCCTGGTGACATGTTGAGACACTGGAGGACTCCTGAGACCAGGAGTGCTGTGATTCGATCTGCCTTGTACAGGGATTGCTCCACTGCTTCTAACTGGGTGAGGGTGGAAAACAGGAGAGCGAGTAAGAGGGCTGTAAGTAATGCAGGCAAGAAGTGATGTAACTCAGGGACCACGAGTCACTTCTGGATATATTCTGAAGATACAGCCAGTAGGATTTCTCAAAGGAATGAATATGCAGTATTATGGGAAAAAGTGATCAAGAAAAAATTCTGAAGTTTTGGCCTCAGTAATGGAAAGGATTAAATTTCTGATCAACAGGTACAAAGAACACTGAGGGTAGGAAATCAGGTTGTTTACTTTCTATTCACTTATTTTAAAATATATTCTATGCTTTATTTTTATCTATTTTTAAAAATCTATGTTGTGTAGGTAGAGCTAGGATAGAAATCAGAAGTTCAGTTTCAAATTGGACAAGTAAATTTTAATATGTCTACTATTAGAATGTTGAAGTGGATACATCAGGTACACAGTCTGGAGTTTGAGAAGGAAGTCTGAACTGGAGTTAATAACCTGGGGTGTATGTCACCACGAAATCAGATGAGATTATCAAGGAGGAGGAAGTGAGTTTAGATAAAGAGCAAGGAGATCAAGGACTTGCCTCTGGGACATTCCAGCATGAAATGGTAGGGGTGGAAAAACAGCAAGGAGATGTTAGGCTCTCAAGAGCAACCAGTGAGATGAGGAGGAAACTCAGGACTGCTTGCTTCTGGAGGCTGGGTGAGGAACTGTCAGATGCTGCTGTAGGTTCTGTACAACGGACTTGGAGCTAACGCTGAATTAACACGGAGTACTTGACAAGAGCAGCTTCCATGAAGTACTGGAGGTCAAAGCCTGACTGCAGATGGGTTAGGAGGAAGATGGGAGAGAGAACCTGGAGATACTGACAAGGTTTTCAAGAACTTATTACTGACATGAGAGTAAAGAAATAACTCCGTGGGACTTCCCTAGTGGTCCAGTGTCTAAAACTCCAAGCTCCCAACGCCGGGGGCCCGTGTTCCATACCTAGTCAGGGAACTAGATCCCCGATGCTGCAACTAAACATCCTGCATGTCACAACTAAGACCTGTGCAGACAAATGTGTGTGTGTATGTTTATGTGTGTGTGTGTGTTGTATAAAGAAATAGCTCCTTATTGCTCACTTTAATCTTATAACTCCTTGAATTAACATTCAAGACCCCTGGTGATCTACTAATAGCTCCCGTACACCTTTCCAACTTATTAACCAAGCTCCCCACTTCCAGTACTCTATGGGCCCAGGGTTTCATCATTCTGACTAGAGAGTTTTCTGTTGTCTTTACTCAAAGTTCTCTCCATGAAAATAAATGCCTTTCAATTCCAACTATCTACTTTCAAACTCAGTATCACAGAAGACTGTGATACTTTCTAATGCCCTGTCATCCATAAACACTTCCCTGATCACACCACTGAGGCTCTCCCCAACCTCTAAACTCTAACAATATTTTATTTGTATCCCTCTTATGTCTTTTAGTCATTTCTACATTATACTATAGTTTCCTTTATCTTAGCTTCCCCTCTAGACTGTAAATGCCAAGATTAGTATGCCCAACTAAATGTTTTCTGGCCTGCAATACCTAACATGGTGCTCCATAAATATTTGTGGGGTAATTTTAATTTAATTTTATTTTTTTGTGGGGTAATTTTAAAATGAATGAAATGTGCTTTCCATGTTACATATCAATTAGATGTGCTAGACTACAGTAGCTCTGGGAATCTGAATTATAAACAAGTGAGCTCCAGGTCCTATCCTATCCCTGTGGCTCTGATCTAAATGGTCTATGGATCACAATTTGAGAATATTTACTTGGCAGGAGTTGATAGGAAAGGAATGGAGAGAGGATATAGCCTGAAAAACGTTCTGCCTCTCAAATGAGAATCAGCCTTCAAGCACAATTCTGGTCACATCATTTCTTGCTTTAAAACCACACATTTAACAAGTTCACTCAAATATTTACTGAACACATACGTGTCAGGCAGTATTCTAGGAGGCCGGCACTCTAGAGTGGGGAGCCCGGTTAGTATCCATGTGACCTTGGAGAACATGCAAACTTCTTTAGGCTTTACTTTCCTTATCTCAAAGGCTCTGTAGAAAAAAATGAGAACAGATCGTTGAGGAACTGAAAGATCTATGTGGTTAGAGGACAAAGTGTGGTCCAAAGTAAGATGGTAAACAAAATAAGGCTCTATCATGCAAGGTTATCTTGAGAAGGAAATGGCAGCCCACTCCAGTATTCTTGCCTGGGAAATCCCACAGAAGGAGGAGACTGGTGGGCTACAGTCCATGGGGTTGCAAAGCTGTTGGACATGACTTAGCGACTAAACAACAACAACAACGGTACAGGGTCTGCAGGACATGATGGGAATTTTGGCTTTTACCCCCAGAGCAACAGGAAGCCAAGGAAGGGTTTTCAGCAGGTAGATGTCATGTCCAGGGATGTATATATACCTGTGTGTGTGTGTATATATATGTGTGTGTGTGTGTATACATATATGTATATAAATAATACCAAGAGTCAAAGTTGAACTAGCATTTCCTCCAGAAGGGGGAAATTAGCATTTATAATCACATCCATCTAATATTTTGAAGGTACTGAGTAAAAATTCTAATTAGTCTTTAATACTTCCAAAGTTCAATTTTCTAAGTATAACAGAAAACAAAATAAAAAGTTGCTTATTTGTATTAACAATGATCTCACCTCATTCCTGGAACTGGGAATGTTTCTTCAGTCCTAAATACACCTTTTCTTAATTTAAGATTCAAGAAGTGTCAAGTTTCAGAAACTAAGTCTCAGCTACAAAAAAAACTGTTTTATTACATGTGAAAGCAAAACAGGTACATCTATTTAAATATTTTTTTTACATATTTATAGATAAAACAAAGACAAATAATTTATCAAAAATTACAAGTTTAAAGAATAGTACTACTTTGAAACAGCCAATAAAGTATCTGAAAATACCACACTTTCTCCATAATTGGTGAATATTATCACCAAAAAAAAAAAAAGAAGGAACTTGCATTTTCTCGTGAAAAATATAAAAGTTTTTTTTAGACGTTGGCTAAGATTGTTCAGGAGCAGTCCGTCTTACTAAACCTGAAAAAGTGTAAATGCTTTCTTGAGAACTTCTGTTTTTACCAAATGGCTTTAAAAGCCACCTGCGCTTTCCTTTGGGCTTAGGTGAACTCTAAATCTTCATTTCACTTGCAGACCACAGAGCATCGACATAAGTACAAACAAATCAAAGTGAGAGTTACAGGCTGCTTTTCTTCATACTGAGCGAAGAACTTTCTCTTTAGCCGGGTGAAAGACCATGGTGTACTGTGAAGTCCAGTCTACTGCACAGGGCTTGACCAAGCCAAAGCAGCCGCACTGGAAGAAATCTGCGAGGTTCTGTGTGAACCCAAGGCTGCCAAGAAAGGAACAGAACATGTCTTACTACATTTCCTGTTAGCACTCGATAAACATTCATTCAAACCTTAAATGTGCACTGAGAATTTACAATACACATCCTTCTAAGATCCCAAAGAAATCCAGAGGTGAATCAGACAGTTCCTTCAATCTGTGGCCCTTAAAACTGAAGCCTGGCTCCATTTCTGAATGTGAATCCCTATTTTGAGATTCCTGGCAACTTAAGTTCATTTTGGATCCTCACTCACTGGAAGGGTCACCACCACTATTAAGTTTTTGTTTTTTCATTCCCACTGCTCTAATTCAGACCTGGACTATCTCAAAGGCCAAACAGGCCAGAAAACAACAACAACAACAACACACACACACACACACAATCAGTAAGATGGGATTCTTCCAAGGAATTCTCTAAATGTTTCTGTCTCAACTCCCCTTCTAATTCATCTTACATACTGGAGACTGGGCCTCCAAAAACATGATACATAATAGCTCCTCACCTCCCAATCAAAACCCTTTAAAGACATTCCTCTGCCCAGAGGCTCAAATCCAAATTCCTCATCTTTGTACTCATAGCCCTACACAATAAAGCCCCAAGACTGCTCGGGTTTCGACGCTTCCAAACATACATTCTGTGATAGCTACCCTGGCTTTACTTTCCCGGTGATCACAACTGCATGGGCCATTCTACTACCCTGGAATCCACATTTCCCTAAGCTTGTATCAGGTAACACCCTCATCATCTTAAGTTCTACCAGTTCTCAAGGCCCAGGTCGCCTTTGGAGCTGTCCTGACTGAATATATCTTCAGCATCTTTATCTTCCTCCATTAAATTCCTGAATGCTACTATCTGTTCCAGTTAGCATGAATATTCACTTTTATGCATGTGCCCCATCTTACAAGAGAACACATCTGTGAGTGAGGATGAGTGAGGATGGCTGCTGGTAAGAGAGCCATCAGGAAGAGTTCCAAGGCTGCTGAGCAGGCAGCTTCCCAGGCAGAGTGCTGTCCACGTGGAGTTGACGGGGTAAAAGTGGGAAGGCACGCTGGAGATTGACAGGGCCCAGCTGAGGAGCTGGCTATGAGTAAAAGTAACTTAGGGAGGACAAATAAGACAGATCTTTGGGTTGAGCAGCATTTGGAAGCCAGATTCAAAGTGGCTCCAAGGCTTTACCATTAGTTCCTCCAGGGATGCTGCCATTACTTGTCATGCTCCAGCTCGTTCACCTCTGGCCCTTTATTCAGACTCTTCTCCAGGGCTTAGAATGCCCTTCCTTCCTTGTCTCCAACCCCATGTCTTTCAAGGCTCAGCTTAAAATTCCACCTCTATCACAAAGAGGTCCATACTTCGGTGGACTAAATATTTATTCCTCCGGTTACATCCCTGAGAAAGGGACTTATTACCACTGCCAGTCTCAACAATCAACACAAGCTTAACACCACTCTCTACTCTCCATCACTTTGGTCCCCTCTTCCCAATTAAGTCAATTTCTCTCCTCTAAACACACATCACAGTCATATTACAGGCTCTGATTTCCCTGTCTAACAGCCTAACAGTTTCATCTTGTACCATAAGTGTGCTTTAAAATAGACTGCTCATGAGATATGCAGTAAGCGTTCAAATCCCTGGAGGGCCCTGGGTCACCTCTGCAGTGCTCCCAGCCTCCAGATCCCGATATATGTGACAAGGAGATAAGCTTCAAAGCCTGATCGTTCACATCATAAGAGGATGGCCTTCCTACAGACACCCTCATTTTCCACGGAGGACGAGTTCCATACAGCTGGTCCTCTGGGGAGAACATATCCCAAACCTGAAAAAGTAGCTTTTCTTTGACACGGGTGGGCTCATTAAACCATAGAGCTAAAAGAATTACTGGTGATAGAAAGTGAGGTTGAAAACCCTGGCAAAGCTTGCAATCTAGCGCTTTCGGCAGAGAGCCTTGTGGCTGGCTTTCTCAGCCACGTGCTCACTTATCTCACACTGACTTCATGCCAGCAATATGCAACCTTGTGACCATGTGGCTTGACTGAAAAGATCCCCCGGCTTGGCAAAACTTCAAAGTCACTTACTGTTTGTGCCCGGTCCAGGAGACTAAATCCCAAATTCTTACCACCTTGGGGCTCATGACCTTACCACTCATCTGCTGTCACTGAGGCTTCCAAGAAAGAAGAGGCTCGACTCCACCAGAAAGCCACGGCAGCAGGGCGGCGGGTGGTGACGGCGAGGCCTGCACCTTCCACAGGCCCGGCAGGAGGAACGGGCTTCACTTACTTGTACGGGGTCCTCCTGAGGGGCAGCGTCTGTTTCATGTGCTTGCTCTGCTTCAGCAGGCTGGTTCTCTCATAGGAGGTCAGGCCCAGAAACGCAATCTGAAAAAGAATAGTGGAAGGTATGCAAAAAAAAAAAAAAAAAAACCCACGCCACCACACTGAGGCTCATCACTCTTGGCAGAACATCAACAGCACACTGATAAACAATCAGCTCTTCGCCAAAGACAACATCACCAAGCCTTCTAACCAAGGGTCATGATAAGGGCGAGGACCTGACAGCTCGAGACCAGACTCACCTATGTCAACCTAGTAGCTGGACATTTGTTGTTGTTGTTTTTTTTTTTTTTGGATTGTCTGCTTTTTATTAACCTTCAAGAAAGCAGAGGGCATTGACTGATAGTCGTGAAATGATTGCTTTAGCAATTCAGGCCGTGGCTTATGGCCGTGTTTATAGATTCTCAACACATTCAGCATTCAAATTTCAGATGAATCAAACAACATAATATCAGTATTAATGCAATTATCTCAACCTCTATATGCTTCTTAGTATCTCTTTGAAAAGGGTCAAATAAAGTTAATCTGAAATGAAGGACATTTTAAAATTGTCCTTTATAACGACAGCCATAAATTTGGGGAAGGATAAGAATTAAAGAAACTTTAAAAATTCTCGAAGCATTAAAACCAATATTATTCACTGAGATATCTCATCCAATCCTCAAAACAACTCAAACATCAAGCTCCTTATCTGTAAAACACAGATTATCACAGCACCCACTTCAGCTTGTCTAAGGACTTGCGATAATATGTTTAAAATGATCTAGTGCAGAGGTTGATAGAGGTGAAGCAACTGGTCCAAGGCCACACAGCTTAGAAAATGACAGATGGACACCTCAGTCAGCCTGAGAATAAAGTCCATGGTCCCTGTCAGCAGTCTACACTCTCAGTTTGACTTGCTACAATCAAAACCATGACTCACCAGAGCACTTAGGAAATGAAAGACTTCAAATTAGACTGTTTTCTTTATTAAGAAAACAACTTTACTCTGAATTCTCGTATTTGAAAACTATCCAAAACTTTGAGCCCACTTTCCTGCCTTAGAGTATAAAACTTTCTTTTAAAAAGCAAAGATATTATATCCTCAAATACTTGTACTTCTTTTAAGAGTCCAGAAAGAAAGAAAGAAAATTAGAGCCGATGTCTCAAATCTTAGGTTTTGCTTCTAACTGAGCCCTATGGCCATAAGCAAGGTACTCAACATCTCTTAGGCTTATCTTTCTCATCCATAAAATGGACACACGACTTTGGCACAGTCTCCATCTCAAATGTTTGTGAGGCCACTGACAGGAAAGTGCTTTGGAATACTTAAAACATATATAAATAATCATTTGCATTAATAATACCTAATATTTATATATTCTTTACATATTCCAAAGCACCTTCCCATCAGTGGGCTCACAAACATTTGAGATGGAGACTATGCCGAAGTTGTGTGTCCATTTTATGGATGAGAAAGCTAAGCCTAAGAGATGTTGAGTGCCTTGCTTATGGCTGGGCTTCCCTGGTGGCTCAGATGTTAAAGAATCTGCCTGTAATGCAGGAGACCCAGATTCAATCTCTGGGTTGGGAAGAGCCCCTGGAGGAAGGCATGGCAACCCACTCCAGTATTCTTGCCTGGAAAATCCCATGGACAGAGGAGCCTGGTGGGCTGAAGTCCATGGGGTCACAAAGAATCAGACACGACTAAGTGACCAACACATTTACTTAATCAGAGGTGGAGTTAGAGGCAGAACCTAGGATTTGAGACATCAGTTCTAATTTTCTATCTCCTTTCCTGGACTCTTAGAACAAACTTATAAATGATTATGGCTTCCCAGGTGGTGTGAGTGGTAAAGAATCCACCTGCCAATGCAGGAGACACAAGAGACAAGGGTTTGATCCCTTTCAGGAAGATCCCCTGGAGTAGAAAATGACAACCCACTCCAGTATTCTTGCCTGGAAAATTCCATGAACAGAGGAACCTGGTGGGCTACAGCCCATGGGGCCACAAAGAGTTGGACATGACTGAGCACACACACATTATAAATATTATCAATAATCATTGATGCTAATATTCATTCTTTCTTTAATTTATTTTTTGGCCACACCACATGGCATTCGGGATCTTAGTTCCCATACCAGGGAATGAACCCACACCCCATGTAGTGAAAGCAAGGAGTCTTAACCACTGGACCAACAGGGAAGTCCTGCTAATATCCATTCCTACTGTCTGAGTCTATAGATGACGGATAGGAGATTAGAACAAATATTCAGAAACCTCAATTCAGTCAGTATGATAAGCTTAATTCCTTTCTTCAGCATTTCCCCCCTTTTTCTTCTTTTACTTCTTATTATTATTGCAGAATTGGTTACTTCCTCATAAAAATGGAATACATTTTACTTTTGTTGAGTAATGCTCCAATTATCTGACGTCTGGCAGTAATTGGCTCAGACTGATCATGGCTGTCCATTCCATGAGGGAGGCCATAGCAACAATGGGAATTAGGTTACGCTCTTAAAGGCAGGCACGCAGCAGGGAAGGAACAGAAGCTTCACAGAAAGCTGAAGGTGGTGGCTACTGCCCTGGAGCGTGACCTTTCTAATGGTCATGACCTTCTCTGCAAGTGTAATTACCATGTCCATCGGTTAGCGATGCATCTTTCATTTCTTCCCCACTTCCATGCCCTTAAGTACCACATAATAATAAGGATAACACACAGGGCTAGGAAAAGGAAGGGAACATAATCATCTCACGTCTGCCCAATGCTTTACAGTTTATAACATGCTTTTACACACCATATAGTTTAATTATAGGATGGAAAAAGCCCTTGAATGGAATTGTCAGAAGACCTAAGGTACCAATTCTGATTTTTGCCATTCAGTGGATGACCTTGGGCAGTTCAGTTCACCTCCCTGACCTCTATCTATTAAAGAGGTCAGATTAGATAACTCTTACGACTATACTAACACCTTATTACTCTAACCTTTAAACCATTCTGTTAGAGTTGACAGCAATTACTATCCCCCCCATTTTACAGGAAATTGCAATTCAGGGGTCAAATGACATGCCCAGACCCACAGCGTAAATGACAGAGGTAGAACTCATATCTAAGTCTTCTGATTTGAAATTTAAGTCCTTCTACCTCACTACGTGTTACTGGATATGCATTATAAGAAAATAAATACCTGAAAAAGTTGATTTATTAATAAAAACATTGACCATGAGAAATGAAAACTTGCTAACATGAAGATATACATGACCCAAGGGGAACAGGTCACAGTCTGATTGAGGTAGGTCCACAGTCCATCTTCTTTGAAAGTTGTGGTACAATGATTTGACCAATCTGTGAATTCACAAAAGAGGGGTCCATTATTTAAAAAGGTAACAAGCTAGTGGTCATTCTTCAAGAAGAAAAAAATCACTGCAGTTCTATTTAGGGAGAAGAGAAAGTAACACATAATGGCACAGATCAGAACTCAACGTAAAGATTTTTATCTTCCAAATAAATGTCAGCTTAAAAAAGATTTTTTTTTAAATGGTATTGTTAAGGCTATGACAATACTGCATTGGTAGTTGGCAGTGAAGGAATAAAAGCCAAAACCTTTATAAAACCATCACTAAAATCAGCATATTCAGCATAAAATAGACTGGCCAGAAGTTATTCAAGGACTTGATAACTGAGAATGATTATATATTCAATAAATACTTTTCTGAGAAAATTCTCTATCTTATCCGTGTTACAGCAAGACAAGGGTCTGTTACAGAATTGAACATAAATTCTTATTAAGGGCTCAGCTCAATAGGCCATTGTTGAGGACACAAAAAATCCTATAAGCACCTGGGTATCACTGTAACACAACCTAGAGCATGTAGTTACTGACTGTACTTGTGCTTTGGGACCATAATTAATCCCACAGGGGGAGAAAAGCCAGGTGAGAGAACTCACAAGTCAGCAACTCAGTTTCTCCCCAGGAACATCTATTCATATGTCTCAAAAGTGAGGTCTTCATGATACTGACCCCCTAACCCAGGAAGCCAAGAGCATTAGTAGGGAGAACACAGGCAGGAATAGGCAGAAAAAAAGGAACAGATCTTCCAGGTAGTGAAAGTGAAAGTCACTCAGTCATGTCCGACTCTGTGACCCCATGGACTGTAGCCTGCCAGGCTCCTCTGTCCATGGGATTCTCCAGGCAAAAATACTGGAATGAGTAGCTGTTCCCTTCTCCAGGGGATCTTCCCAACCCAGGGATCAAACCCAGGTCTCCCACATTGCAGGCAATTCTTTACTGAACCACCAGGGAAACCCAGTGTAAAAACCAGTGACTTCAAACAGTGATCACGAGCAGTCACAAAGGACAAGGAAATAAGAATTGTGTAGATGTGCACCCTGAGGTTTTATAAATGCCTCTGATAATCTGAGAAGTAGTTTCAGACATTTTCCCAAAGCAGCACTTAAGAGCTCCTGGGACAGAAACAAATGAGTCCATGACTTCACTATCAACTATCTGACCATTTTAGTCCTGAAAAAAAAAAAAATGTTTTTTCTGAGTCTCATTTGATTTCTAACAATCTTTCATGAATATATGCCAGAAGCATTCTAAGGCAATCATCACAGAGCAACAATCAAGGTAAAAAAAACTTTAAGGCAAATTACACTCTTTTTAAAGCTGCTCATTAGGACAGCAAACAAAGATACATTCCACATACTTACCTGATACAACAACAAAAAAATATGCATATAATTTCCAACAGCAGGCTTAGGAAACAGCTGCTGAGTGGGAAAGAGTATCTACTCTCTTTCTGCTTATGAATGTCTACTGCTCCCTTCTGGGAATTTTTTGATAACACAGCATGACTCCGAACAGGAATTCTCACAGGACTGATTTCAGATTTATTGAAGATATGGCTGCAAATAGCCACATACATTACGTTATGCAGTACAACACTTTAATGTGTTTTTTATCAGGTGGCCACTGGCTAATAACAGGAAACTTGTATTGCTCCAGATCAATCATTTTCATCTTTAAATAGCTCTGACAGTTATGGTGTTCTTTCTAACAATGATCTAAAAATCTTTGTCCCTGTAGCTCATAGGATGTTGACGCTTTGAGTGACTATACTGTCCACCCTGAAAACAGACCTCACAAAAGGGAAAACGCATGGAGACTGCTCAAAACCAGAGTAGCTAAAACTGGATCCCACGAGGAGGAAGGTACACAGTAATGTTCTAGCACCAGGAGTGTTAATGATAAAGAAGGTGGGATGACAATGAGGCCTTGTTAGAAAAATGGAGTGAAAGTTCACTTTTGCTGTCTGTGAAATAATGATAAATGGACACGATGCTCTCATCCAGTATAAAGAAATACTGTGACCATCACAAAATAGCAAAACAATAAATTAAAGTAATAAAACACGTTCAGCTAGTCTACACAGTTGTTAGGGAATGTAAGGTGGGATTGTTTCTAAGAAACAAAAGATGTAATACAAAAACTGGTTAGGAGCCAGAGAATAAAGACAAAGAGGAGGGAAGAACCAAATGAATGTAATACGGAAGCAACTTGGAAAGAATGAATGTGATGGAAAATTACTTCTGTCCTTATCAATACAGTCTTATGCTGGACACAGCCACCGCACAAAGGGGACTATTTTTAGTGACAAGAGAGAGTGCAGAGAGACAAGAGTGGCATAAAATCTGGCTCTTCTCCCTGAGGATCAAGTCCAAGGAACAAGCTGGTCCAGAGGCCCAGCCTCAAAAGGTTTTCCAGGAATATGCTTTATTTTCAGGCCTTTAAAAGGGCAGCTCTTTCAACAGAAAGAAGCATTAAAAAAAAATCTTTAATTTCTTATACCACAGGACATAATAATCTATGCAGTTTTATACTTTCAATGCTCAGGATTACTGATGGTCTTTGACAAGATCTGAGATCAGGGATCACAACCTTCTGACTCAGCTCCATTTGAGATGGTGGCGGTCACGCTAAGCTCCAAAAGCATCCCCTAGTGATCAGAGACACCAAAGGTATCTGGTAGAAACAGGACTGTCAAGGTAACTGAGGTCTTCTCCATGCCTATGGCAGGGCTAAAAACAGATCATTTCATGAATATCAATTAACAATCTCTAAACAAAACAAAAGGGACTCTTGAGAGTCCTTTGGACTGCAAGGAGATCAAACCAGTCCATCCTAAAGGGAATCAACCCTGAATATTCATTAGAAGGACTGAAGCTGAAGATGAAGCTCCAATACTTTGGCCACATGATATGTGAAGAACTGACTCATTGGAAAAGACCCTGATGCTGGGAAAGACTGAAGGCAAAAGGATAAAGGGGTTGCAGAGCATCAGATCGTTAGGTAACATCACTGACTCAATAGACATGAGTTTGAGCAAACTCCGGGAGAGAGTGAAGGACAGGGAAGCCAGGTGTGCTGCAATTCATGGGGTCGCAAACAACTGACACGGCTGAGCGACTGAACAACAACAACAGAACACACCTTGTAATACTGGATGTTTCTGGAAGGAGATCTGAGAGGCTGCGGACAGCATGCTGAAAAATCACCTTCCAAAAACTAAACAAAATTTAACCTAGAGAAAGCCACCTGGTGAGTGGGGTGGGGAGAGTAAGGAGTGGAGAACGTGGGATTCTAAAGAGGAAAAGAAAAAATGTAGGAATAAATTTTCCACATCTGCTAGAATCATTCCACATTTTAGCTCAAGCAACAGACTTGTATCCTATTAGCAAAATCCAAGACTTGAGCATGAATATAATGGGAGTGTGGATGGAAACAGATCAGCAGTAAAGCCTCTGCCTCTAGAACCAAATGCTCCTAAAACCTTCAGAATAAATAAATAATAAACAGTTAAACCAATAAAATCAAATAAACTATAAGCTCTGTAAGTTTTTCCAGTTAGGTAGCCTATTCTTAGGTCTGAAAAGCATAGTCATGCAATTCTTAAGAGCTAATCAAAACCCTTCTTGCTTCAATTTAAACCCTGCTCTTATTCGATCACCTTGGAACAACTGGACGTCACTCCCTACATGAGCCCCCCCACCCCCACCAGCCACCGATGACCCCCTACATGGCTACTGAAAAGTTGTTTTCCTTTCTCGGGGGAGCAGAATAAGTGATCTGCTGTTTTCTTCCAAGTTATTATTTCCAACCTTTCAATCACTGTCACTGTTTTCCCATCAGTTCTAAGTCCTGACTTGATATTTATAAAGTGGCACGAGCTTTCAGAGTCCTGTGGCTTAAGTACTATGGCCACCTCCAACCCACTCCCTCAGCCTCTCTACCACCAACTTTCCCCCCTATTTTATTTACTTATCATTTCCCCTTGCTTTGTATTTGAGCGACTGATTTTTACTCATCTCACTGAGGGATAAATCTGCACTTAAATGAGTCTATTTTTGACCACTTCTCAAACTTATCAAGGTCACTTCAGGGTTCAATCTCTTCCAAACTACTGACAACTAACCTCTCCTAGCATTTCTTACAGCCTCCCGATGCTGAGAGAGTCTTAAGGGCATTCGCTTCACTTTTATTAGGGTATGGTTTATGGTCATCCAGCCACAATGTGATATAAAAGAGCTTACAAGAAACAGTGTATTGAGTGTGGGTGTGTAAGTCTGCTGTAAGAAAAATGTATACTTACAGATGAAAGATTCATATATAATCCAGTCACACACAAGGGAAAGGAAAAATAAGAAGAATATGTAATAGTGATGGTTGCCAAAACCTACATCAAAAAAGAAAAACAACATATTTAACACTTTCTTACAATGATTTTCCAGAACAAGGTCTTATTAAACACTTTCCTATCAAAAGCTTTCACTAAAGTAAAAAAGAACTAAGCTGTTGTTTTGCTTTTAAATGCCATTAAACCCAAACCAAACAGCTTTAATATGTCCTGTTCCAATGTCCACATCAACTGAACTAATATTTATTCATTACTTACTAAAAGAAGACACTTTTTCTGGACAGAACAAAGCTTACTAAGTAAATCCTATACAGCCCCGGGATGGCCTCTACAGTGCTGGAGGCAGGTGAGTGGGCAGGACTCGGGGCAAATCATACCCTGTCTCTTCCTTCCTTCCACGTAATGAGTTTACACAAGTACGACTCCTGGGCATCAAGGGCTGACTCAATCAGGGGAACCCAGAAAACCAACAGGGGCAACAGATATCTTGCAGGGAACTGGATACAGCAGAAGAAGGGCAACCTGTGATGCCTGAGAAAGGTCTCCAGAGGCAAGGGAAGGGGGAGGGTGTCAGGTATCCCAGCCCCACTGTTGCATGTGCTATCCCTCCCCATGCTGGAAAAGGCAGCATTTTGGCAGCTAATGACAACAAAGCTCCTTAGCCAGCATCATGTTCCCAGCTTCTCAAAGCCCAGCAGAAGGAACAACACCCACTGGAATCAGGAGACCCTGATTTACAAATGACAAGTTGTGTGACTATAGGTCGGTCATTTAACTTCTGATTCAGTGTTCTCATAACATGAGGAAAATATCTCTTCTGTCTACTTCATAAGCCTGTGGCAACCAAAGAGGATGATATAAATGAAAATACTATACAAACGTGGTATGATAAAAATCTGTGGGCTTATACTATTGTTTTCCCACTGCCATTCAAAGTTGCTGTCATTAATGCCATTCATCTCACCTCTATGGTGGGATGGGGTCCGCAAAGGCTGGCAACACAGGGATGACCTCTTCACCTGTTCTGTAGACGCAAAAGCTCACGGAAGTGTTAAGTCACTCCGTCATGTCCGACTCTCTGTGACCCCATGGACTGTACCCCGCCAGGCTCTGCCCATGGGATTCTCCAGGTAAGAATACTGGAGTAGGTTGCCATTTCCTTCTCCAGGGGATCTCCCTGACAGTAGAGAACATCAAAATGCACCACGGAAAGGTGTCTTTTGTTCATCAAGATTCTACAAGCACAGCTTCCCCTTGAAGACTCAGGAGACTGAAGTTCCTCATAATAAAGCCCTGCCTTTTACTGTGATGGCTCAGAGGAAACCCAGGGCTGCAGATTAGGACAATGAATGCTCCCAGGGAAGGCAGGCCCCAGAACTCTGCCGTCTCTGGCTCTAGCGCCTACCTGAGCCTGGGAGGCAAGGAGAAAAGGTGAATCAAAGGGATAAGATACAAATTATGGAAAGAACATGCTACCTGGAGTGGAAAACTGACACTACCAAAGTGAACTCAAGCAAATAATTTGACCTTTAGTATTTTTTCCAACTCTAAAATGAAGATAGTAATACCAACCTCTCATGATCAAATAGGATACTATCTATAAAGGTGCTTTATAAATTATCATCAACCTCAACAATCAGTGTTCCGAAAGTATTAGACCACAGAGCTGATCCTCTGACAAGCAAGAGCTACAGATGCTTAGATCCTCTAATGCTTCCTGCTTTTTCTGAGTCACACGCATTAATGAAAAGAGAGCTGAACTTCAGATGGAAACCTGACACTCACCTATGCACCGTCCGGTCCACAGGCAGTGTTGGTCGTAGCGAGCCACACAGGAGTTGCACACGTGGCAATGCAGTGACCTTAAGGGCTTCCTCATCTAAGGCGACAATTACGAGAGCGAAAAGCAGGTATCAGAATCCCAAAGTGGTAACAAACCAAAAGCAAAATCTTCTTTCTAAATTATAAAGACACACTGGCACAAATAATCTTATATTGATCATCAATTCACTTAGGCTCTGGAAGGCCTTGTTACTCTTACTCCCAGGTGTCTACTTTAATTAGGCCATCACTACGGGGGATTCGAAGTCCAGAGCCTTCTGACACTGACAAAGGGGAAATGAGGCAGCACCACACAGGATGAGTATCGGACTAAGAAAAAGAGAACATGAGTTACATTTCTGGCTCTGTCAGTAATTTGGGGAAAGTTACTTCTTCCTTTAGGCCATGAATCCTCAGTTGCTAAATCAAAGGTTTCAGTAGGTGGTTTCTAGGGTCACCATGATCCTGAGACTCCAAGTTAGTTCTAACATATGCTTCATGGCAGGAAAAAGCAAACCAAACACATAAAGAGATTTAACCATAGGCAACTTCAAGAGATTATAAAAATCATTCTCTTATATGTTCAAGGCAGAAAATTGTTCTGACAGCAATGCGAAATTTATAAAAACCAATTTTATACCTGGTAAAAAGAAAGGTGTATAAATACACCAGGAAGATGTGAAAAATGCTTACATGGGCATTGTAACAAAGAATTTGCTTTTACTATGGGAAAAGAATTATAGAGGAAAAGACTCACTCACAAGACAGGATGTACAAAATGTTCTGAAGTCCAGACAGCCGGTCTCTGCAAGGGTGATGATACTCTGAAAGACATTAAGTTTGACCTTACGTTTGCTTTTTACTGGGGGAATGGATGATGCATGGTTATATACCATTCTCACAGTTCTCTCTCCAAACTGCAATAGCTAGAAAAGCAATTTAGAAGACCTGCCACCACATCATTCTGTGCCTGAAATATGTGACTTTTCAAGGCTGCATTTTCAACCACAGTCAGTAAATTAGAATGCATAAAAACTGCACCTCCTCCCCATATCCCATGAATGGCAATGATCTCTCAGTTATAATATGCTAGAGAAAAATAAACACACACATTATACACTCATAAAAAAGGAACAAAAACCACCTATACATCAGAATTGATGGTTATAAGTGTCAAAGGCAGTCTTTCAGGAATACTGGCTTTAGGTAACAAAGAAGACAACAGTCTCCTCAACTTCTAACACTCACGAGCAATGGGAGACATACCATGACTCCTGACAATTTCAGTCTGAGGACAAGAAAGGGCATCTCCTCAGCCAAGAAGAAGAAGGACTCCCCTTGGCCCCGTCCTAGATACTCTCCATATATTTAATAGGGGAATTTAATTTGTATGATCATTACCTAAGTATTATTATAAAGAAGTAGGAGCTCATATCTACTGACAGAAATTATATCTGAAAAAGTCTTGGTGGTATATTACTGTAATGGAAAATAAAAACATTTTTTAAACTTTCATATAAATAAATGACAGTGAAGAAATCTGTTTGCTGATTTAATTATTCCACATTTACACTGCATGTTTTATGTGCCAGGCTTCCCTGGTGGCTCAGATGGTAAACAATTTGGCTGTAATGAGGAGACTCGGGTTCGATCCCTGGGTTGGGAAGATCCCCTGGGGAAGGGAATGGTAATTCACTTCAGTAATCTTGCCTGGAGAATCCCATGGGCAGAGAAGCCTGGTGGCGACAGTCCATGGGGTCACAAAGAGTTGTCATGACTGAAGCGACTAACACAGTGATTAGTTGCGAGGCACTAGAGATGCAGTCACAGTAAAAACCGACATAGTTTACATGCCCTTCTGTAAAACAAATCAGTAACGTTACAGAGAAAACTCACCATTTTCTTTTCTTCTTCTGAAGCCTTAGTGAACCCTGGGTCAGTTGCCCAAGTCTTGTAGAAAAAATAGAGGAAGGCTACTATGCTGATAATGAAAAGGAAATACAAAGGGGTGCCTGCAACATGTGAAAGCTGAGTTAAGGAACATATCAGACTTCCAGGAAGAACAGCCTGTGATGTAGGCACACTTCATCACTGGTGCTCAAGAGTCTCTTTACTCTGCACTCTACCCTTACCTTTCCTACACACACATACCACTACGTAGACTAACCCTAAAACCTGGTCCCATCCTATGTTCTACTCCTATACAGATTTGCTCATAGTTGGCTAATAATTATCTCTTCTCATTAGTTGAAACTCATGAGAGGAATAGTTGCGGTATATGAAGAACCTCCTAAATACTGAAAAACCTTCCAGATCCAAACAAATTAACATCTAATGGTGTAATTGTGGCTCTGTTGTGTGCATCTAAAATGGTATTTTCTGAGCATCTAATAAATTTTAACAAAACTATTCAAAGAAACAAATCACTGAATTCAGAGCTTCTAATTAAAAATATTCCCCTATATATTAGATTAATGCTAGCAAACATTTCTTACACCGAAGTTAAACAATGTAATTCTTCTCCTAGCAGTATTAGGCTGAGTTAATTCAGAAACAAACAAATTGCTCTCCTTGCAAAGTGGTTACAAATTAGATGCTATTTGGAAAGGCAGATACTATGGATAAGTTAAGATAAAGTGTTTCAAAGACAGACATTACCCACTTTCAAGTGCTTTTAAAGTGGTTCAAATCCTTTGTATCAAAAAGGAAAATTTTGCTCCAGGGAAGGACAAATGAACGTGCAATAATGAACTAATAAACCAGCAGTAAACCAGCTCTCCTTGTCCAATTAAACTCATCATATTGACACAGTAACTGTATCTGCCTTTCGAGGTGTTGCCAAGCTGCCTGGTGCTAAACTTCAGCGTGGAAAAACGTAGCCATAGAACTCTAAACTCTTGCTTCTCAAAGTGTAGTCTGTGGACCCATAGCAATGGCTTTACCTGGGAGCTTATTAGAAAGCTTGAGCTCCAGACCTCACCCCAGACCTGCAGAAGCAGACTCGAGTTTACCAAGATCCCTAGGGGATGCACACGCACATTATAGTTTGAGAAGCACTGCTCTTACCCACAAAAAACAAGCACAACCACATCTGGTTCTGGTAGGCAGGAATGGATCTTGTTGGTTTAGCTTATTAGTTTATCTGCAGATGGGCCTAGCTTTATGAAAAAGACAGGATCCAAAAAATTAAAAAAAAAAAGCTGTGTGAAATTGAATTCCCCTAAAATCCTGATCAACATACATGACACAGTCTCAAAAACCTCCAACTGAATCACAAGATAATCTCACGTACTGAGTGGAACAAATCTGGGGCTCCTGTTCTGAATAATCTCTAAAACAAATCCTGCAGAAATCGATGGATTCTCTCCTTCCAAATAAAAGGATCCCTTCACTGTTCCCTCACATGAAAGCCAAGCATTCCTTGTTCCCACGCCCTTGCTTTGTATGGTTCACTGTTCTCAAGTGTTCCCCACTTTCCCCATCTACTTCTAAAATCATACTTTTAGGATGTCCAAGTCCTAACTGCCTTCAAGACCTAACTTATAGCCTTCCTTTCACTTGAGGTCTTTCACTGTGGAAAAGGATTCTCTCCCTTCTCTGAACCCAGGAATGTTAATTCTATGGCACTCAGCCCTGGATTATAGTTATCTGTAGACAATTTAGCCCCCCCCCATTAGCTTGTGTCCCTTTTGCAGCTAAAACACTTCTCCACATTGATCTGAGAGCTGCTGTTTTATAACCTGGATTAACTGGCTTTCATTCTGTAGCTCCCTTACGTCTACACTGTAGACCCACACTATAGTTGTCCCATAGGCAGACGCTACAGGAGCTGTTTCCAACATTTTTGGTGAGTGCTCATTCTGTACAATGCACTGGCTTCCAAATGGCAGACTTTCAGGCACTTGAAATTGGAAGGCAGAGCTTACACCTCCAGGCTAAGTAGCAATATCACTGCTCGTACAACACGCTTTCCTGCATATGGTCCTCTGTTTGCCACTGTCTCTTTTCAAAAGAACAGAATTTGAAACAGAGCAAACACATCTCAGGTGTGTTCTGACCAGTGCAGTAGACAGTGAGATGCTGATGTCTTTTGCTTGGACACTCACATCCTCCTAATACTACTAGACAATACACTGGTTTCCTCAAAAGCTGCATCACTACACATACCAGGCTTCTAGTCAAAGCTCCTGGTTCTTCTTCATTTGCTCTGAAGCTGTGTCATTCTCACCACGATGTATACTTGTATCACGCTGATTCTCTGAAACTCAGTATTAGGACTTCACATTTATCCCTCTTAAACTTAACTCAGCTATAGCTGGAATCCAAAACGTCATGTTCAGTGGTTCACCATCTCTTTGCTAAATCTTAATCTTACTTCCAAACTTATCAGTAAGGCTTTCTCTCCCTCTCTCAAATCTACCTCATAAAAGCCACATATCACTTGCGGTACACACAAAGGCACTAAAAGAAAGTGTTCCTCTCAAGAGCTAACCTAGAACTGCTCTTAAAATTCCAACATAAAACCTTCCACACAGATTTTGTTCATAAGAGTAACTGATAATAATAACAGGTATTATTTACAGAATGGGGACTATGGGCAGCATTTTATAGACATCCTAACATAGCAATACTTGCAGCCACTTGATGAACTTGATACTGTTTTCCCTAATTTACAGGAAAACTGATATTCAGTGAAATTATTTGCCCAATAGTACCGTGGCTCAGCAGGTAAAGAATCTGCCTGCAATGTGGGAGGCCTGGGTTCGATCCCTGGGTTGGGAAGATCCCCTGGAGAAGGGAACGGCAACACATTCCAGTATTCTGGCCTGGATAATTCCATGGACAGAGGAGCCTGGTGGGCTACAGTCTATGGGGTCCTAAAGAGTTGGACACAACTGAACAACTTTCACTTCACTTCACATAATAACTAGTAAGAAAAAAAAAAAAAAGCCAGAACTCCAATTCACTCTGTCTGATTCCAAAGACCACACTCCTTCCACAATGTTCCCAGGCTCTCTTCCCGTGATGGGCAAAGCGGCTGTGGGAGTGGAGGCCCTATGCAATGCAGACATGGCAACACGACTAGTCTACACCCTCAGGATGGGTCTTTCCAGGGAAGCACCTCGGTGCACACCCAAGGCAGTTCAGATAGCATTTAGCATTCAGCTTGGAAAACACTGATCTGATGGCGCCACCTACTGACTGACCTGGCCCCACCAGCAGCAGCCTGAGCGTATAACAACTGGCTTCATGCTGTACATGTCAGTAAAACACCTTCCTGTCAACTCCAACATCCTTTAAGACTCTGTCCCAGATATGGAAATTGAATCAGTCCTTCTCATGCTGTGACATCTTCACAAATACTGAACAGCAGTAAACTCGGCTGAATACTAACTACCTACCTCTGTAATTGAGGTTTTCAAACTATGGTGGAGTAACATTTTTGTTAATACTGACACTGCAAATTGGAAATAATTCAATGTAAAAACTACCACACTTTTTTGGTGCAAAATCTGAAAGAGCGTGAGTTACCCACATTTTAAAAAGGCATCAAGAAACACAACTTTTAAACTATGTTTACTCCACTGCGTATGAATTTGTAAATAAAAATATCAGCCAGCCCTTTTTGTACTATGTCAATTACCAAAGCATTTACGAGCCTTGGGACTTCTATAAGTGATAAAGTATTTTTGTATCATATAATGACATCACCCAAGCCTTTATTAAGCGGTGGTCATAAGGCCAGTGCTTAAAAAGCTGCCCTCAAATCAATAACCCAGATGAAAGTTAATGCAATAAAATCTTTTGAAAAGTCAAAATGACCCCCATGGTATACTGTGTCATTTATTTAAAGGAATCCGAAAAGTACTAGAGATAATGCTCAGAAATAAAGAGCATCATTAAAGTAAAACCATGCTATAATGAAGGGTGATAAATGCACTCAGAACTCATATACCTCTCTCAATTTACATTTACTCCAATGAAAAAAATGAGTGAACGCATCTCTCTTATAAACAGTACTCTTTCTTTTCAAGTGTATCACTCCCAGAAAGAGAAATAACAGAGAGTTAAAGAAATACGCTTAAAGGTACATGTCTATCCACCACATCCCTTCTTCTTCTGGCCTATAAGGAAAGCAAGGCTTTTAATGGCTTCCTAGGGCCCTTTGAGGGAGAGAAAGGAGCCTGGAAAGAGGTGGGAACTCTGAAAATTGGAGAAAATACATCCTTCCTAATGGGAGCTATAAATAGCTATAAACTAAGAAGTAACCCTTATCCTCATTTTCAGGTGACTGGATTTGGCCTGGGCCCTGCTCCTCAAGTGATAAACCAACCCCTTGGATGAGTTGTCGTTTTTTTAAACTACAAGTTGCCATCCACTAGTAGGTCATGAAAGATTTAAGTGGCCTATGACTTGCATTTTCAAAAAAGGAAATAGAATAAAAAACAAAAATGTTAGAGTAAAGCACATATTAGGATGTGCTTTTGTCTCACATATATTTTGGGTGGCAATGCAAATTTTACTGTGCACTGAAAATCACTGCCTTGGACAAAAACACTGCACTGACCACTGCTGAGGAGGACACATTTCCTTCAGTATTCCACCTATACAGGTAATATTGGTACCCAGATTTATTAATCGACTATAACTGCTGACCAAGTTAAAAGAACCATCTGACCTTAAAGAGAAGCTCAAGGCATGTGGGAGAAGGCAACGGTGGGATGTTTCGAGAGAACAGCATCGAAACATGTATATTATCTAGGGTGAAACAGATCACCAGCCCTGGATGCATGAGACAAGTGCTCGGGCCTGGTGCACTGGGAAGACTCAGAGGAATCGGGTGGAGAGGGAGGTGGGAGGGGGGATCGGGATGGGGAATACATGTAACTCCATGGCTGATTCATGTCAATGTATGACAAAAGCCACTACAATATTGTAAAGTAATTAGCCTCCAACTAATAAAAATAAATGAAAAAAAAAAAAGACAGAACCTCAAGGCAATACAGTAATTTTTATGGATCTAAATAATTCATAATTCATTCAGTTTTAATATGTTAAACTGTTTCCTTCCTATGTGTAATTAATATTAAACACCTTCTGTTTCCATAGTGTACCCTGAGATCATGTCCAGAATTCAGCAGATTTCCAACAATAAACACCTTCAATCAGGACCATTAAATTAATATAAATTTGATTTACATTCCCTGGATCTCATCTAGTATCTAAACTTTAGTCATTTTTAAAAGTTAAATGAGATATGCATTTAAATGTAAACTTGAAGGATATCAGGAAAGAATAAGATGAACCAAGTCATAAACATCCAAAAAATGGAACTCAGCAGAAAGACTGTGGGTAAGTATACAAGGCTCTTGTACCCGAGCAAGAACCTAAAAGAAAAAAAGTGTAAACATAAGGTATTAGTGAAAGTAGGTGTGAATCATATTCATTTCAGTTCTAAATTCCCTTAAATAATAATAACAGTGAAAACAAAGAAGACCTCAGATAACAACAGCTCTCACTAAGTGCTGTGTGCCACTTTCCATGGGATAAGAGCTACGTACCATCATCGCTTCATTTTACATGTGAGAAAACTGAAACACTGGGACTCTCAAAAAGTGAATGTTCTAGTTCCTGTAACTAACTCACACATTATTTCACCCCCAATAACACTATATTTTCAATTAATCTTTTTTATTTCTATTGAAATACATATTTGTATTTTTGGCATGTTGTATTTTCAAATACATGTTATATTTTCAAAATGCAAAAATTTAAATCCCTGGAGAGTCATCTTCACATTTAACAAGCTAAATGCGAAGCTAGTAGTGTATTTTTGAAACACACAGAGGCACACAACCTTGAGCATTTCTATCCTACAATCAGCTTGTGAAGCAGACATGTTAACATACAGGTTAACAGTGGCACTAGTCATCAAGCCCCAACCATCTTGCTTGGATCACAAGCAAAATGGAAGTCCACATAAAACTTACTCAAATGTTTACTATTATAGTTTCAAAAGAAGAAAAAATCTTTTACATTAAATATTCAATACAGTAAATCTAGACATGAATATAGTTTACCTAGATCTATTTTAAAATTTATATCATAAAACAACAATGATTGAACACACATATTAAAGGGTTTTTAAAAAGCTATCAAGATCCTAAGCACAACTATGATAAAATAACACTTAGCAACAAGTAAAGATCCCACACCTCAGGCCCCCAATACGCTGCCAGAATAGGCCAACTGGAGCCCACATAACCTTAATGGCATGGCTTGTCCACAGCAAAATTTGTTTGACCTAATTAAGTGGTGCAGCGAACTATCTTATTTGTAACAGCCTGCTACTATGACCTGTCTACTTCTGACAGGTATCACATAGCAGCCTGGATCAACAAACAACCTCCTGTGGAGCCTAGTAATAGTGGAAGTTTATAGCTGCTTACTCCGTGAAATTGGGACTCTAAAGAGTGGAAGAAATAAAAGTAGAATGGACAAAGCTGCCATATGCATTTGCCTCCCATTTGAACAGTGTCCATATGCTAACTAAGCATAGCATATGAAGCCCTCTACTCACAAAGTTTCCATATAAATATTTTATAACATGAGTTTCTATTAAAACAAAATCTCAAATGCCCCTATCCTAGGTGAGTAGACATTGCCAGCCTTTGCTTTCTCTCTGGAAAAAAGAAAAAAAGTGATTGCAATTTGGCTTAAAATTTATTTGAAAACCAAGTCAATCCAATTAATGGAAAATGAATGAATATCTCTAACTTACAAATTTTCTGCACAGCAGGCAATTTCAGGCATTTTACTGTTTTTCAGAAATTTGAACTTTTAAATTCATTTCCAGCCTACTGTCGTGCTCTTGAATGACTAAGTGGTAAAATGCCGCTAATGCTTTCTTTTTTAAATAACAAAAGCAACTCATGCTTATTCCACAAAATGCTGGTAAGCAGACAAAGGACATAGGAACACTCATAATCACACCCTGAAGACAGCAACACGAACTTTCTTTTCGATTCTCTCTTATAGATCATCGTCGTTAACGTTTTCCTTTCCTTCAGTGACTGAAAACGTTCGACAGGGAGACAAGTGTCCTGCTTGTGTGGGCCTTACATTCCAGGAAACAGTAATTAAGTGCCATGAAGAAAATACAAGGGGAGGATACAGCAGAGCCAGTCAGACATGACTTGGCTAAGGAGGGGATGCTGGGAACTCAGGTCCATGAGACGTCTCCCACTACGTAACAACACGGCACAGAACAGAGCCCTTCAGAAAGACACATGAGCAAGAGCCAAGGCCCCAGGTGGGTACGAGCTCGATGTGTTCTAGAAACAGAAGGCTGGAGGGCAGTGAAAGAAAGAGAGAATGCAGAGGGGGAGGGGTGATGACATAGCACCTCACAGGCAAGGAGTCTGGACATCATTCTGAGAACAAGCAGCCACGGGAGGGCTTTATGCAGGGAGAGAAGACAGAAACTGGTTTTTTTTTAAAGCCCACCCTTGATTGCTGAGTGAGGAGGAACTACAGTGGGGTAGGAGCTGGAGCCAGGAGGTCAGTGAGGAGGCCTGGCCTAAGGAGCCAGCTGAGGAGAGGCCAGCTGGGGTAGGGCAGGGAGGACCTGTGAGGGCACTGGGTGTGGGGGGTGAGGAGCAGGGAAGAACAGTGGGGGGCAGTAATCCGAGGATGGGGCCCATTATTCTTGTGAGGAACTGGATGCCACTCTACTGGGAAAGGGAGATGAAAAGAAGCGCTGGCTACTGATTACTGAGTACTGGGCATCAGTCATGGTTTTAACCATTTGTATTAACCACAAGGCAGGCATTGTCATAAACATCACCCTCATCTTAGAGATGAAGAAATCGAGGCACAGAGAGGTAAACCAACTTGCTCAAAGTCAGACTGTCATGTGGTAAAGCGTGACTTGAACCCAGGCAATCTGACTCTTAACTAGCGACTACATATATACATATATATATATAATGCATGAATATTTTATTAAAAATAGAACTATATCACAGTTACTATTTTATAACTTCTTATGATTTACTTAGGTTGCTTCTTACCTAAAAAACATTAAGAACTAAAAACAACTAGCTTAAAATGAATTTAGATTTAGAATAGAAAAAAACAATTTCTGAAAAATGGGCAAAAATGCTTCAAGATGCAAAATAGTTACAAAAATCTTTCCATTATTCATTAACAATTCAAAAAGTGACCTTGGCAAAAAAAGTGAGCTAGTATATTTATTTTCTGCCAATTGTCAATGCAATTAAATTATTGGATTGACCGATTTGCTATCAGTCAAATCATATACCACCAAAGCCCTGCCCTCCCACCTTGAGGATCATTCTATGTGATAAGTAACATTGATAGTTCAATAAAAATCTGTGGCTCCAGCTAGTAACAGTAAAAAAAAGAGTACTCAAATTGGAAATGCAATAACCAGCTTTGCAAAGACTAATACACACCTTGGAAGCAAAGACTAATACACACCTTGGAAACAAAGACGTCAGAAAAAACAATATTATTAAAAGAAATCCTTTTAAAAGCCAAGAATCTGAATCGAAGTCCAATATGTATCCAACAGCCCACATGGTAATCACAGAAAGTAGCAGCAGCAGGAAGACCTATTAAGAGATTCAGAATTTTAGAACTTAATGGATTTTACCTCCTAAGCACCTAATAATAGTTCAAAAGAAAAACTATTTCCTAAATATATAGTAAGTTAATACAACAGCACAAAACAGTTTTTCTTCAAAATTGCTGATAGATAAATCTGAACTTTAAGAAATTACAAATCTTGAAAGCAAACTTTTAAAACCTTGCATTAATAAAATGTTGCTTAAACATGTTTAGTTTTGCTGTCTTCCACTCCAAGAAATGTTGATCTTCTAGAAATGTGTTAATGATAGGTGACATTTAAAAAAATAATTTTCAAACAGTATTGTATATCAGAAGGCATAAAGCTGGACAAAAAGACCACACAAAAATCAATATACCCAAGATTCAATAAAGAAAGTACAAAAGTTCCAATCTAGGCATTGCATGGTGCCATGACCTAATAAAGAAGGTCAGAAGGAACAAGTTTGCAGAAAAGATGACTTTCATTTAGGGCATGTGGAATTGTAGACATCTAGGAGACAGCCAGGAGTCAGTCAGAAAAGCAGATCTACGATACAGGACAAAACTTAGTGTTTAATCAGTACACCGACTGGAAAGACAGGAATGAAAAGCATCCTGAGGACTGTGTGCAGGTGAATAGGGCAGAAGCTTGGCCAACAGAAACATTCAAGGGGAAAAAAGTTAAGTCCTAAAAGGTAAGTAAGGAAGTATGACCAGTATGACCCGAAAGGCAGGATGAGGACCGGAAGAAATGTTCCAGACAAGCCAGGGAAGGGAGTTTCAAGAAGAGAGTAGTTCTTAGTGTCCTATGTCAAATGGAGGTCAAAGTCTGAAACACATCATCAGGATGCTAATAATATGAGTTTATTCCACAAAGTTAAAAGAAGGAAGCAACACTGTGGCTGTCTGTATTAAAGCCGGACACCACATCTGTGCAATGCAGTCCCTTAACTGCAGTATGCATGACCTTTATATTCTGCTCTATCTTCTTCAATCTTTACTCCTTTAAACCATGTTCTGAGGATGGATAATTTCAAATGATAAGAAGCCTTTAATATGCTTCCAATTCTAATTTGCACAATAACACATAATGAGCAAGTCTAGGGCTTTTTTTTTTTTTAAGGTAAACTTAGAATCTACATGCAATATAATCTCAGAACAGAAATAACAATTAAATGTGAATCTCACAATTTTAATCAGAGATATAACACTCACGGATGAGCCACACTATTTCCTTGTTCAACAAATATTCCAGTGTACATCATATGCTAGGCACTGTTCTAGGCACCTGGGAACACATCAATGAATTTAAAGTCCTTCTCTCATGAAGCCTAAATTCTAGTAGGGGAAGACAGACAAACATACTAAGTGAATTTTTTAGTATATAGAAAGCTGGATGGAAGCTTTTTAAAGTTTTTGGCTTTTATTCTGGGAGAAAGGGGGAGACATCACAGTATTCTGAGCAGATGAATGATAGGATCTGACTTACATTGTAAAATTCATCTGATTGCTCTATGGAGAAGAGACCAGAGGTGAGTGGAGGCAGAAAAATGTCAGAGAGCTGCAGGAATTCATATAAAAAATAATGGTGGCTGGACCAAAACATCATGGTAAAGTGGTGAGAAGGGTCAGATGCTGGATATACACTGAGGGCTGAACTAGCCAATGTGTTTTTCTGATGGACTGGTTACGCGATATGACAAAGAGCAAAGGAACTGGAGAGTAAGTTGCCACCTGCTGAGATGGGGCCGCTCTGGACTGAATAGTTGGGGGCAGTGGGGAGGAGAGATCAGGAGCTCAGTTTTGGATGTTATATTGATGATGCCTTTTGGATGGTGAATGGATAAATCAAGTAGGTAACTGGATAGGTCTGAATTAGAGATACCTTTGGGAGTCGTCAATATATAGACGGCATTTAAAACCATGGAAGCACATGAAACCACCAAGGGAATGACTAGACAGAAAAGAGGTCCAAGGACAAGACCCTGGGACACTCTACTAATAAAGCAGGGAAGGGAGCAGAGGAGATGGCAAAGGAGACTACGGAGTAACTGTTATTTCTTTTTTTCTCCCTTCCCATACTTAAATGCAAAATTGGTGTAGTATTTGTGGGGATCCTCTGCATAGAAATCTCATGCCTGTTAATCTAGAATCTGAAGGAATTCTATACATTCTGAAGACAACACTATCACATGTGAAGACATTAAACAGTAAAATCAATTCAATATCCATTTTAACAATCTTAATTACATTCTCTCTTTTTTTTATTAGCTGGAGGCTAATTACTTTACAGTATTGTAGTGGGTTTTGTCATACATTGAAATGAATCAGCCATGGAGTACATGTATTCCCCATTCCGAGCCCCCCTCCCACCTCCCTCTCTACCCGTTAATTACATTCTCTATTACAACTTAGATTTTGCTGACATAAGAGCAAGCTGACCATTCTAATTTTTTCTATCATTCCATCACTTTTTCGTTGTTGTTTTTCACTTTTAACTTTAGAAGACCACCACTCAGAAGAACTGCCAAGTTAAAAAAAAGAATAAAGGTTCGGTTTCATCTCTCAAAATTGTGAATGCTTTTGATTTTATGAAGTGACATCAAATGCCTGAAGCTTGCAACATTGTAATTTTTTAAGTTTAACTCTTCCTGATTCTAAGAACTGTTTTGAATGTTATTATTTCCCCTTTGAAACAAATTTTAAGAGGAACAAGTTCTTTAAGAGTAACTCCTATAAAATTCCTTGCAACAAGGATTTTTCCTTTTGCTTCTCTAAGAATCTAAACCATTTGTGTTTCAATTCACTCATGAAATAAACATGGAAATATACTATGGTATTCACAAGGTAACATGGAGCTGTAGAGCCATCTAGCTGAGAACCAACAATAAATTGCCAGTAAAAGTGCCAAATTTCCAACTTTGGGTTATGGGATATATGGAGAAGATATAAGCTGCAGATACAATGCAGCAGTAGGCCAAGTCCTTGGTTTTCCCTGATGCCTTCAAACACGAAAACAAATGGACAAAACAGTTCTTTGAGCCCACAGGATAGGCCCTGTATGAAAATACCTCGCATTTCTGCAGCCATCTCCAAAGTCTGAAATTTTTGTTGGCTCGAGTTTTGGCCTCTGTTTTTAGCATGTGAATAATGAGCCGATTTTTGCTTTGCAGGGCCATGTCAAGAGGGGTTTCTCCCTAAAAAAGAAAGAAAAAGTTCAATTTTATTTTTGATACAGCATAAGTGCTAAACTTTTTTTTAATATTTATCTATTTGGCTGAGCCACATCTTGGTTGTGGCACATGTGATCTTTAGTTGCACATGCAGGATCTTTTATAGCTGTGGTATGCGAACACTTAGTTGGGGTATGTGGAGCCTAGTTGCCTGACCAGGGATTGAACCCAGGTTCCCTGCATTAGGAGCGTGGAATCTTAGCCACTGAGCCACCAGGGAAGTCCCAATGCTAAACAAGTTTTACAAACTCATGAGAATCATAGATTCAATGTATTTATTCCAAGGGTAGCCAACTATTATTGTTTATACGTATCGTGTGGTAACTGAAGACGTAATAAGCTAAGAGAGATAAACACCTGGCCATACCTTAACATTTCGGACATCCAGGCTAGAACCAGCCTCCAAGAGCTTATCAACAGCATTAACATTTCCTGCTGCAACCGCCCAGTGAAGTGGAGTGTTTTGATGTATTTTATCAACTATATTGAGAGAAGGATTAAACTTTAAAAGAAATCCAGTTGGTTCTGGCCTGTCTCAAAACAATAAAACACCAAGGATCACTTATTAGAATGAGTTGAAGGGTAAATGTAAATAATGAACCTGTTTGATAATATATCAATGAACCAATCAGTAAGTATTCTGAAAACTGCAGAACTTCTCTGTGCAGAATTCTACTCTAGGTGCTAATACTGGTGAGGCCCAAGTTGCTGCCCCAAGAGAAATCTATTAATTGTCTGCTACATAATGTAATTTTAACAATACAATGGAATAATTGCTTTTGTTTTTCAAATTTTTATTTTCATGTTGCTGTTCTAATGATTAACTTTTTTTTTTTTTACTTCGGCCAACATTAAATGCTATGTTATTTATCCAGTTAAAAAATTAAACATACAAAAAAAAAAATTAAACATACAACATCACATTTGAGGAGACAAACCAAAAGCTAACTTCACATTCTCCCTCCAACCACTTATTACATAAAGTGGTATAAAAATGCCCTAAATCATTTATCAAAGAAAGTTATGGACTTGAAAGCAGAATTCAATTATTTTTTTACTTCATCTTCAATACTTTTACTTCCTTCATGACTACTCAAGAGATTCCCTTAATAAAATAATAATCTATTTTACTCATTCTATTCAAGATTTTAAAACATTATACATGACCTCAGAGTTACTAGCAAAGATGACAAAATGCTTTTTGACAAAATTCTACCCCAAATTCGAGCCCTACCAGTCTATGAACTAAAAGGAAATAGCATCAGAACTAACTAAGTTCCTAGGAGTGACATCCTAAGTAAAAGCAGACTCAGAAACTAAGTACAACACTGGAAACAAAATTGATAAAGGACAAAGTGTAGCATGTATTTGAACAGAAGGATAACAGAAGTTAGACAATATGGTGACCAGTAATCACAAGTAGTAATGATAAAACACACAAAAACTTAAATATCTAAGTAACTGATATGAACATATAAACATGCTATTTTCATAATTGCAATTTTCAATTACAATTAATATTTTCAGAGTAGTCAACAATGTTAGAGAACCCTCAAAGTTATTGTATTTATTTGTATTATTTGAAATGCATCTTTATCATCTAGATTTCAAATTATGGGAGCATTTAAACCTGTAGTCATTCTTGAGAAACATGAACTAAGAAATGCAAATTCTGTTAATTAAGTATACGCTCTGGAATCTCCAGGTGTTCTGTAAGGAAATTTTTTTCTATTGGTAGCTTTCAAACTTTTCCCCAAAGCTATCAGAAAAGAGAAAATTTATTTCAAAGCTGCTTTTCTAACTACAACTACATTAAAAGTGCATGTCACAGACACAAGATGGAAAATCTTACTTTCTTCAGAATGCTGTGTCACCTCACATAGAATAAGATACTTAAATTGCTGGAATCAAGAGTCAGAATAAGGCAATTCAATTAAACTTACTTACCCAAGTACTTTGTTAGCTGATAACATGAGAGGTGTCTGCCCGTTTACATCTATTGTATTCACACTCTGTTAAAAAAAGAAGAGTTGATCAGCCTAACTGTAAACACAGTCAATTTTCTGTTTCCTGTCTTAGTAGAAGTATCTCTTTAATACATTCAACACCACCAGTGTGTCTACAAGGGTTCAGATATCATTTGAATAAAATAATGTTCTGTTTCACATCCATAGGGTAAAAATACACTGATTCCTGCAAAATATTTTTTAAAGGGAAAAATCTGAATATATGATTTTAAATGTATGTTGTGAGTGGAAGATGACAAAGGGACAGAAAAATGTTGATAATCACCATCAAATATGAGACAGTAGAGACCTTAGAAGTTATCTGGTTTAGACTTTAACTGACACATTAATTCAAACTATCACCTCTTGGACAAAGTCATCCAGTCTCTACTTAAACACTTTCAGTAAGAGTGAACTCTACCTTCTGAGGCAAGAATACAAAATAAATTGTATTTTTGAATTTACTATGTTTCAAAGAGTAAAACATGAAAAATTCTATTTTTGAGAATACAGGAAATAAAAGGGAAATCATAGCTCCAAGAAGATACGGTCCATTTAAAAAAATGGGTCCAGAGTTGAGGTATACACCCCAACCCCCCAAAACAGTCAGTGACTGAATATTCTTACAGGCCTTGGAGGAAGAAGCCCAAAGTGAAGTAGAAAAGATGATTCTTCATACAGCTTTCCAAAATAAGAGCCAAGAGGTTATAATTATTCTACTTGAATTGCTAAGTCTAACAGAAAGTGCTTATTTAAAGAGAATACAGTCATTCCAACAGCATTTGTGCAAACATGTTTCCATGCCTGCTACAGATGAAACTACTGATATATAAACTAGTTGTTACCAGAAAGCATATCCCAGGAAAGCAGAACTGACAGTGAAACTCCCACTGCCAACAACCCATAATTTAACCAGTGCCATAAATGAATGTCTCTTAAGGCAAGTCATTTTTCATGGGATTACTTCAGGGAACAATAAGAAACATACATTCAAACTGGTCTCCATTTGGACTCAAATAATGAAAGCAAATGATGGGTTAATTTAGTGATTTGACTACCATTTCCACATTCAACCAAAAGAAAAATACAGGCTTTAAAGTCATGTTTTTTAAAAACTCTGCAAATTACTGGGATCACAAGAAAAACTATTATAAGCTTACAAGTTTCAGAAACAACTATTATATGTTACTGAGCTAAATGACCTATCCTTTTTGCTCCAGTGAAGCTGGAAAAGCAGTATTCAACAGCTAGACTTACTGAGGCTAGTATTTGAACATTCAGGTATCTGTAAAAATGATTTTTATACCTTAAAAATAAGGACTATTACTAATGATCCTCTCTGAGTCCTTTCAGATTTACAACAGCTAGAATACAAAATATGTCTCAAAACATACCTGTCCTTTAGAGATGAGATATGCTATAATGGGCATGTGCTGAAATAACACAGCCAGGTGGATGCCACAGAATCCCTCTCCATCAATGAGAGCGGGGTCTGCACCATACTGCAGTAATAATATGACCATAGGCAAATGCCCTTGTCTGGAAAAAGAGAGAACAAAAATTATACTGTACTCTATAGTGCAAAAGAGAAAAATTCAGAGAGAAACTAATATTCCTAAGACATGAGGGACTGTGGTTATATATAGAGAGTATTTCTTAACAGTGTACAGATTTTTAAAACACTGGAGCTTCTCCAAATATCTTTTACGTAGACATTCCAAACTTAGAACTATCTGGACAGTCCTTGAGTGCAGGTAAAAGCTTATTAATAATAACCTCCCAATCTACCTTAAATCTTATGTGTAAGACTACTACCATGTATAAATAATTTTACATAACTAACAATAAAAATGGAAATTAAAAATCACTTGGACTTTGCCATTGTTATTTTAAAAACAAAAAATAATCATGAAACAGGTATGTTGAATGTAGGGTAACAATTCCCAGACCACAGGTGATAATACTGTTCTTAGGAACTACATATTTCTCTTTGAATACAGCTCATTTCTATGTAAAGCACTGCAACTTACGGGGATGAGCTAACCCCAGATTCTTCAAAATTCTTGACTCCAGAAAAAAGACTGAACTCCTTGCCTTAAATGAACAATTATCCACTTCACTTTCAGGTTCGTTTCAGTTCCACCCATCAGAGAGAATGGAGTTAAATTGAAAGATGAAGAAGTTGCTATGTATCCAAATAGACACTTAACTAACTCCAGCTTCAGATGCCAGCACATACCAGGGAAAAGAATTGATGGAGTTTACACTCACTAAACTACCACATTTGTCCGTGTGATCAAATATTAAAAATATTTACTTTAATTATAAAATAAAATACATACAATTTAGTTTGGGCCCTCAATTAAACACAAAAATATCATCTACACAAACTCTTTAAAACGGTTTTTTTTTTTTAATGAAGCGGTAAAAACAAGAGAGTCTTTCAAGTGGTCTGTAACTGCAATTCTAGTATGAACTACTAGCCATATATAGTTATTTAAATGCAAATTAGCTAAAATTAACTAAAATTTAAAACTCAATTCCTTAGTGGCATTAGCCACACTTTACATTTCACATGTGGCTAGTGGCGCTACCTTACGGGACAGCACAAACATTTCCATCTTCACAGAAAATTCTGTGACAAAGTGCTGGTCTATAACGTTCAGAACATACATAAATCAGTTTTGATTCTGAATAGCAATTTCAGTATTTAAAGAAATCTTTACCTGATGGCCCAATGAAGAGGAGTTGAATTTAAATCTCCACCCAACTGATCTACCACAGCGCCTTTTGAAATATAAAACCTGTTAAGAGCATACATAAATGAAAATAAGATTTAAAACTTAAAATTCATACCAAGAAATAAAACATCCATTTTTCTTAGTAATAAATGTATTTTAAAACAGAAATTATAATAATGCCCCTCTCTAAAACACTCAGATCTGCAGAAGTCTGAAAGACTCACATAACAGCATCAAACAGATCCCTGGTGAAATATTCTCATCATGTAAGTAATTACTCCTGCTGCCATGAGTATCCCTTTACAACTATACACTAAACACATAATAACTACTCTCTGCTGATTCTAACCACAAAACTCCTGAAATGGTTTATATTTCAGCTCAGTTCAGTTGCTCAGTCGTGTCCGACTCTTTGCAACCCCATGAATCGCAGCATGCCAGGCCTCCCTGTCCATCACCAACTCCCGGAGTTTACTCAAACTCATGTCCATCGAGTCGGTGATGCCATCCAGCCATCTCATCCTCTGTCGTCCCCTTCTCCTCCTGCCCCCAATCCCTCCCAGCATCAAGGTCTTTTCCAATGAGTCAACTCTTCGCATGAGGTGGCCAAAGTACTGGAGTTTCAGCTTCAGTATCAGTCCTTCCAGTGAACACCCAGGACTGATCTCCTTTAGGATGGACTGGTTGGAAGGTTTCTATTACAGATGATTTATTTAACTTGCAAGAAGAAAGGTGTAACTATGTCACAACTAACAGCTTAAAGTTAGAGTTACTATGTGGAAATAATGATGCTAAAAGCAGCTAGCAAAAAAATAATTCAAAATTTTTCCAGAAAAGTTAGACATTTTGAGTATTTCACTCTATTTTGGAGGCATAGATGGGATACATTGTATAAAGTTAAACTATAAGGTAAAGAGACTTATTTTCTTTTGTGGCTTACAGGAATTAGTCTCATTATTTCAAAGTTGTGCTTCACATATATTATGTAAAGGCTGTGAGTATATCTCGTTATTCTAACCTTCAGTATATTTTTACTTTCTTAAACCACAGGATTTTAAATGTGTATAATACAAAACATATACACATTCATGTACACATACACATTTTACATGCTAAAGATATAAAAACAAACAAAACACAGTAGTGCTTTATGTAAGGAAATAATTTTATACAATCCAATACATGCCTAATCTAAAATGCATTCCATATTTAATTTTGCTATTAACTTAAATTATTCCCCTACCCATCCATTCCTCCTGGCATTATTACAATATAACAATTTCAGTGATTCTTTTAAACTTGGTGAAACTATCTGTTCTATTGTGAAAAATGTGTTGTTATTGTTCAGTCACTCAATCATGTCCTACTCTGTGTGACCCCATGGACTGCAGCACGCCAGGCTTCCTTGTCCTTCATCATCTCCTGGAACTTGCTCAAACTCATGTTCACTGAATCGGTGATACCATCCAACCATCTCGTCCTCTGTCATCCCCTTCTCCTGCTTTCAATCTTTCCCAGCATCAGGGTCTTTTCTGCCGAGACAGTTCTTCACATCAGGTGGCCAAAGTACTGGAGTTTCAGCTTCAGCACCAGTCCTTCCAATGAATATTCAGGGTTGATTTCCTTAAGAATTGACTGCTTTGATCTCCTTGCCATCCAAGGGACTCTCCGAGTCTTCTCCAGCACCACAGTTCAAAAGCATCAGTTCTTCGGTGCTCAGCCTTCTTTATGATCCAACTCTCACATCCATACATGACTACTGCAAAAAACATAGCTTGGACTATACGGACCTTTGTCGGCAAAGTAATGTCTCTACTTTTTAATATACTGTCTAGGTTTGTCATAGCTTTTCTTCCAAGGAGCAAGTGTCTTTTAAAACTTTCAAGGTTGCAGTCACCATCTGCAGTGATTCTGGAGTCCAAGAAAATAAAGTCTGTCACTGTTTCCATTGTTTCCCCATCTATTTGCCATGAAGTGATGGGAACAGATGCTACGATCTTAATTTTTTGAATGTTAAGTTTTAAGTCAGCTTTTTCACTCTCCTCTTTCACCTTCATCAAGAGACTCTTTAGTTCCTCTTTGCTTTCTGCCGTAAGGGTGGTATCATCTGCATATCTGAGGTTATTGATATTTCTATCAGCAATGTTGACTCCAGCTTGTGCTTCATCCAGCCCAGCATTTTGCATGATGTACCCTGCATATAAGTTAAATAAGCAGAATGACAATATACAGTTTTGATGTACTCCTTTCCCAGTTTTGAATCAGCCCATTGTTCCATGTCCAAAAATGTTCAAATTCATTGCCTGAACTGTGGCTTCATTTTTAATTTTTATTTCTGGGCCAACGAGAGTCCTGGTCCAGATGATCTCTGAGGTCCTTTTCAGTACTATGATAACCACTGTGCATGACACAAAGTTCAAGCATTCATTTATAATAAAGGATTACAGGTGGCTCAACATACGTACTTGCACTTGAAAAGAGAAAAGACAAATGAAGGAAAGGTTTAGAATTATAAAACACACACTTAATTAACACACACATATCCCATCTTACTTTACAAGATCCAGCCTGTTATTAATGGCAGCCCAGTGGAGAAGAGACACATTTTCTTTGTCTGGTTGCCTGACATCATATCCTGCTTCTACTAACTCTTTACATCGCTCAAAAATGCCGTATCTGCAACAAGATGGAAAATAAAAAGCGTAACTGATACCATTAACATAATTTCAGCTATCAAAATGTCTTTTTCTTTTACCATGTCTTATCTGGTGTGTCTTTCAGGCAACACAGAAATATAACAATTAGCAAAGATATTCATAAAGTGGATGGGATGTAAACCCAAACAACAGAAGTAAACCTGGCTAGTAGCTGATCAGATAGATGAATCTATTTGGACTTGAACCTGATTTTCTGAAATAAACTTTCAACATTCACAGTTTTCCTCTTTCAATAAGTTTCACTGGATCTTCCACTAGGCACCAGGAATGCACGGTGCTGATTCTGGACAATAATCTTATCCCCAAATCAAACAAAACGCAAGCAATGATCTCACAATAAGGGAGCTAGACTAAAAGCAAACTGGAACGGGATAAATTCAACAATAAAACATGGACATGGTGTAGGTACAGAAAAGGAAGGAATGATTAGCTCTTCCTGAAGTAGATGGAACATGATGTACAAGCTATAAAGGGAAGACATTTCAGGCAGAGGTAACAGCATATACGAAAACCAGAGATACGAAACTACACAGATGTTTGGAGAAATAATAAGCAATTTAGCACTGCAGAAGCATAAAGCATAAGAAAGGCAATGGCAGGAGATGAGGCTAGGAGAGGCAGGCAAAGCCTGCATGATCCTTCTCTGCCATGCTGTGAAATTTAGTCTTTACGGCTTAAGGGGAAGCCAACGCAGGTTTTAAAGAAGAAAGCACTCAGGCTTTGGGCTGTAAGAAAGATCACATTAGTGCAATATGGAAGCTAACTTGAGGTGAAGACTGAGAGACCAGTTTAGAGGCTCTTGTATTAGAGACAGGTGATCAGCAAAGGGAGCCTCGGGGAAAAGAATGGAATGATTGAAGGGATACTTGAGAGAGCTATTTAACTAACAGAATGAAAAGGAGGAGAGAAATATCTCTTTTTAATGCTAAAATAATTTTCAAAATCATTCATTAGCTCTATTTCTCTTCAATAGAAACTATTAAGTCCTACTAGACCATTTAGTTTCTTTGAAACTTACTTTTATTTAGAGGGACCTAAATGTTTTACTGTGCCTTCAAGGGTCAAAATCAAAACAAATGGCAGAATGTCTGTTTTCCATACTATTAAATTAAATAACTTCCACCTCATCAAAATGTGTACTTGCCTGTCTTTATGGCATTTTTTAAAAGATAGCTACCCATCTGACAATGTGAAGTGAAGATATTAGAGAAAATGAGTTGTTGATAATGATACATATATATATTTACGCTCCATCTCTTAAACATCAACTTTAACATTTTATTGGAAAAGAAATACACCCCTGTGATGACCTAGAGGGGTGGGATGGGGAGAGGAAGGAGGTTCAGGACAGAAGGGATATATATATATATATATATATATATATATATATATATGTGTAAAATTATGACTGATTCGTGTTGCTGTATAGCAGAAGCCAACACAAAATTGTAAACCAATTTTCCACCAATTAAAAAAAATTTAATTAATAAAAAATAATTGGGAATCCAAAAAAGAGAGCTACTCCCTTTACATGAGAAACATAAAGAGTACAAATTATTTAAGGGTATGATTTAGAAAATACAAAAATACCTATCCTAACTAGTTCTTTTTCACTCTTTCCAAATACTACCTAAATATCTTCTCACAACCACTTAAGAAAGTCCAAGACCTGAAGAAAATTTTAGGAAAGATATATGAGTTTTTATTGAGATTCCCTATGATATAGCCTAATTTTTCACACTTATTGTAACAGAGCTTTACTGAAAGCAGTGAAACATTTAAATGTTTCCATTTTAATTAAAACAAATATCTATTTACCTTAAGAACACTGTCATCTTCATATAAATATAACAATACAAACATTCTCAAATAATATTCAACTAAAGTAGTGGTTCCCAGGGCCTCCAGAATTCATGTAAATTAGTAATTAGAATATTCAAATAATTGTCAATTACTTTTTAACAAACATAAGCAATATATCAGTCTGTATTAAAGCCAAACAGGTTAACTAATCACCAAACATCTTCACTTTTGACAGAAACTATATCAAGTTTGTGAAGTAACATTGGTTTCTTTAATGCAGATTAGCAGCTCTGACAGGCAGGCCTGTATTTGATTACTAATAAAGTGACCTACTAATTAACATAATCTGACAGGCAAAATATTTCAAAACATATTCAATGGCAAGAGATGTGGTAGATGTTAACAATCAGTGAGATCCATGAGGGTGAAATTGTTGGAAATGATTTAAGGCAAATACTCACAGGTGGAAATCTTAAGGAGAAACTCGAAACATTATTTCATTTTCAGTGAAAGCAAAACAACCAACTATGTTTCAAGTGGTCGGAAACTATAGTTTCAAGTGGTCAGAAAACCTGTTTCTATTTTACTGACTTTCTTCTAGTGCACCCAACAAAATAGCTACATAGAAAGTAATCAATAAATGTTTAAAATACCCATAAATGTGTGAGTTGTAGTCATCTCATCTTCATATTTAGGTTGTAGTATATTTTAAAAGCCTAAGATGTGTATTTCAAACTCTGAGTCTAGCATGAGTGTCATTTAAAACCATCTGCTCACTCAATGAACATTTATTGAGCACCTAATAGAAGACAGAAACTGTGCAAAAGGGCTGGGGTTACAAAGATGGAAAAGACATGCTTTTGCTCAGAAGTTCACAATCTAATAGAAGAGACCATTAATAAAAAACTAAGGGGCACTGTATCAAATGCTCTGATGCTGGTATGACAAACACACTATCACTGGAGTACGAAGGGAGGGAGGTGTACACGGGAGTGCCATGAACTGCACATAGGAACTGAGGATAAAGCAAAGCATTAGGCAGACTTACTGAGTAGCTTTTACAATGTCACAGTTACTAGAATCCTCTATAAGAGGAAGAGCTTCTCTCGCCTTGGCAAGTTCTTTGTTTTCATGCGCACAGACTCCATGTCGACCAAATCCTGGAGGGTAGGGGCCATGGCTGTGATTCCTGCACTGAAGAGTAAGAGTAATTTGACAAGGCACAGAAGAGAATCACTGTCACATTCAACTACATCATAAAGCATTTGGTACTATCGACAGTATCTATCAGTTAAATGATTTGTTTTTCATTCTTAGAGGTATAGCCTACAGATTTTCCTTTTAATTCTAATTCACTAGGATTAGATGCTTCATATTAGAAAATTCCAAATTAGGTATTAGGTTGGTGCAAAAGTAATTGTGGTTTCGCACTGTTGAACTCTGCCTTTCAACACCGGAATACATTCTCAAATAAATGTGGTTATGTTATACATCACTTTAATGCATAATTCTCACTTGGTTTTGTTGCTAATGACTTATTACCTGATGTTTATATTTATCTTAGACTATGAAATGATGTTAGACAAAAAGTAAATTCCAGTTATTTTTTAATTCAAGTTCAAAATGGATCATAAAGCAGCAGAGACAACTCGCAACATCAACAGCGCACTTGGCTCAGAAACTGCTAACGAACAGTACGTGTAGTGGTGCTTCAGGAAGCTTTGCAAAGGAGACGAGAGCCTTGAAGATGAAAAGTGCAGTGGACAGCTGTTGAAAGTTGACAACGACCAACGGAGAGCCATCATCAAGCTACTCCTCTTACAACTACAGAAGGTGCTGAAGAACTCAACATCGACCAGTCTATGGTCATTCAGCATTTGAAGCAAACTGGAAAGCTGAAAAAGCTCAATAAGTGGGTGTTTCATGAGCTGACTGCAAATCAAAAAAATCATTTCGAAGTGTCATCTTCTCTTATTCTACACAACAACAACAAACCATTTTTGATTGTGATTGTGATATGAGACAAAAAGCGGATTCCATACAACCCCGGGTGACAATCAGCTCAGTGGTTGGACTGAGAAAAAGCTCCAAAGCACTTCCCAAAGCCAAACGTGCATCAAAATAAAAGGTCATGGTCAGTCTGGTGGTCTGCTGCCAGTCTGATCCACTACAGCATTCTGAACCCCTGTGAAACCATTACATCGGAGAAGTATGCTCAGCAAATTGATGAGATGAGCAGGAAACTGCAACCCCTCATCTGGCATTGGTCAACACGAAGGGCCCAATTCTTCTCCATGACAATGCCCGACCACACGTCGCACAAGCAACACTTCAAAAGTTGAACAAAGTGGGCTACAAAGTTTTGCCTCATCCACCATATTCACCTGAAGTGAAAGTGTTAGTTGCTCAGTTGTGTCTGACTCTTTGCAACTCCACGGACTCTAGCCCACCAGCCTCCTCTGTCCATGGAATTCTCCAGGCAAGAATACTGGAGTGGGTAGCTAGTCTCTTCTCCAGGGGATCTTCCCAACCCAGGGATTGAACCTGGGTCTCCTGCATTGCAGGCGGATTCTTTACCATCTGAGCCATCAGGGAAGCCCTCATAGTCACCTGACCTTTCACCAAATGAGTATCACTTCTTCAAGCATCTCGATAACTTTTTGCAGGGAAAACCCTTCCAAAACCAGCAGGAGACAGAAAATGTTTTTCAAGAGTTTGTTGAATTGCAAAGCACAGATTTTTACACTACAGGAATAAACAAACTTATTCTTGTTGGCAAAAACATGCTGACTATAATGGTTCATATTTTGATTAATAAAGATGTGCTTGAACCTAGTTATAATGATATAACAACATTCATGGTCTGAAACTGCAATAACATTTGCACCAACCAAATAGTTCTGTCATAAAACAAAGGCCATCTGCAAAAGACACCAAAGTATTCTGTCACTTGTAATAGGTGGAGGGTCATGGTTCTTGACAGCAGGAAGGTCACCAGGCGTCTGCTTCAGGAAGTCAAGGTGAATACACCCTAAGGCTACATCCCAATGTATAAATGAAATCCCAGAAGAGGAAGAGGAAATACTTTTAAATATTTGACTAAACAGCCAAAAATCTTCCAAATTTGGTGAAAATTATAAACCCATGGCTCCTACAAGCTCAACAAACCAAAGCAGCACCAAGCTCATAATATTACACCAAGGCATATAATAATCAAACCACTCAAAATCAATGATAAAGATAGCAGTCCAAGGAAAAAGACACATCATGTTCAAAAAAAACAAAGGTAAGAATGAACTCAGACTTCTTATCAGTAAGTACTAGCCAGAAGACAAAAGCAAGACAGTTTTAAAAATCTAAAGGAAAAAACAACCTGCAAACACTAACAAAAATATTCTTGAAAAATAGGAATGAAAGAAACACTTTTTTCAAACAAATCAAAGCTAAGAAAACTGCCAACAGACACTATCTTACAAGAAATAAAAAAGGATGTTCTTTAGGCTAAAGGAAAATAATACCAGACAGAAATCTGAATCAACACAAAGAAATAAAGAGTGACAGAACTACATGGGTAAATACTTATAATTACGTGGGTCAACATAACAGACTTTTCACATTTTTAAATTTCTTGATGACAATAAACAGAAGTATACTGTTACAGGAGATTCTTAAAATAGTATTTGCAGATAAACAGTGGTAAGTAAACCCAAGAGCAACTTCTAAATAAATAAAGTCATACAATAAGCCAATAGCAGAAATAAAATACTTAAAACATACTCAGTATCTTTCAAACTGCAGGAAAAGTAGAGGGAAGATGAACAAAGAACAGAGAAGGAATAAAACATATAAGGTAATACATTTAAACTAAACTATGTTTATAATCACATTAAATACTCATGATCTAAAGAAAACCAAATGAAAGACAGTTTGTTAGACTGGATATTTAAAAAAGCAAACACCAAGAAAACTACATGTCCTCTACATGAAACTCACATTAAATACAAAAACATAGTTGTTAAAAATGAAGGATAGAAAGAGATATGCCATGCAAAAACAAAATAAGCATAAGGAATTCAATGGTTCTATTAATATAAGACAAAGTAGACATCAGCACAAGAAATATTACCAGAGATAAGGAGGAACATTTCAAAATATTAAAAAATAAATATTAAATATTTAAAAATAAAAAACAATAAATTAAAATTAAAAAATAATTTTAAAAAATCAAGAAGATATAATAATCTTAAACACATGTGCACCCAAAAGGAACTTCAAAATTCATGAGGCAAAAAAGAAAAACAGGAACATTCAATATTAGAGTTGAGTATTTTAGTACTTCTTTCAGCTACTAGAAAAGGAGAGAAATCAGAAACAGATGCATGTGTTTGTGCTCAGTCGCTCAGTCATGTCCAACTCTTTGGGACCCCATGGACTGTAGCCCACCAGGCTCCTCTGTCCATGGGATTCTCCAGGTAAGAATACTGGAGTGGGTTGCCATTTCCTACTCCAGGGGATCTTCCCAACCCAGGGATCAAACTCGCATCGACCCTGTCTCCTGCACTGGCAGGCAAATTCTTTACCACCAAGAATACTTAACACTACCCACCAATTGGATCCAACTGACATTTTCATAAAATCCCACCCAACAACAGAATAGATATGTGTTCCAAGTACACATGGATTATTCATCAAGACAGATAATATACTGGGCCATAAAACAAGTCTCAATAAACTTATATGGGTTGAATTCATACAGAGTATGTTCTCTGGCCACAGCTGGAATTAAATTAAAAATCAATAATAAAAGGATATGTAGAATATTTGGAAACTAAACAACACAGTTGTAAATACAGTGAATTTTTAGCTTTAAATCCTTATAATGGGAAAAAGACTCTTGAGAGTCCCTTGGACTGCAAGGAGATCAAACCAGTCCATCCTAAAGGAAATCAGTCTTGAATATTCATTGGAAAGACTGATGCTGAAGCTGAAACTCCAATACTGTGGCCACCTGATGCGAGGAACCAACTCATTGGAAAAGACCCTGATGCTGGGAAAGATTGAAGGCGGAAGGAGAAGGGGACAATAGAGGATGAGATGGTTGGATGGCATCACCGACTCAATGAAAGTGAGTTTGAGTAAGCTCCAGGAGTTGGTGATGGACAGGGAGGCTGGTGTGCTGCAGTCCATGGGGTCACAGAGAGTCAGACACGACTAAGCAACTAAGCTGAACTGAATGGGAAAAAAAAGAAGAAACTAAAATAAATGACCTAAGCTTTTGCCTTAAGAATCTAGAGAAGGAAAGTAAACCCAAAGTAGAATGAATGAAACAATAAAGATAGGGAAATCCATGAAATATAAAAAAGAAAAAAAATGCAGAATCACTGAAACCAAAAGCTGTTCTTGGGACTTCCCTGGTAGTGCAGTAGATGGGAATCTGCCCATGGTTCCATCCCCGGTCGAGAGATTACATGGGCCATAGCGCAGCTGGGCCTGTGTGACACAACTACTGAGCCCACGCTCTAGAGCCCACGAGCCACAGCTACTGAAGCCCACATGCCTTGAGCCTGTGTTCCACAACAAGAGAAGCCACTGTAATGAGAAGCCCACGTATTGCAATGAAGAGTAGCCCCTGATTGCTGAAATTCAGAAGCCTGCCAAAGCAATGAAGACCTAGGGCAACCAAAATAAATAAATAAAAATTACTAAAAAAAAAAAGAAAAACTTAGTGTAAAGTTTTTCTTTAAAAAGCTGGTTCTTTGGAAATAATAAATCAATAAAATTGATAAACCTCCAGACTGATCAAAAATAAAGATGTCAATGACATATAGCAGGTTTAAAAAAGAGGACACTGTTATAAGATTCTGCAAACACTAAAAGGGTAATAAGGGACTTCTGTGATCATGTTTATGCCATTAAATTCAATGACCTATATGAAATGCAAAACATTTTCTCAGAACACACAAGTTATCAAAATGGAGTTAAAAAGAAATGAGTAGCACTCTATCTATTAAAGAAATTGAGTTCATAATTTTAAAACTTCCCAGTAGGGCCTTCCTCGTAGTCCAGTGGCTAAGACTCTGTGCTCCCAAAGCAGGGGGCCCAGGTTTGATCCCTAGTCAGGGAACTAGACCCCACACGCCACACCGAAGGGTTCATATCCCACAGTGAAGACCTGGCGTGGCCAAGTAAATAAA